TCTGATCAAAAGTTTGTGAGTTATTCTTAATAACTTATATTGAAGTCGGCTATACAAAATTTTTAATTTTAAATTATTGCATTCGAATACATATAAATACTTGTATCAGAATCTAACAGTTGAATTTAAAAAAAAACAAATTCATACTTATAATAATTGATGCATTGTGTTATATTAATTATGTGTCATCATCATCATCATCATTACAGCCGTTCACAAGTCCACTGCTGAACATAGGCCTCCCCCAAACCCAATATACGGTATTAATGGGAGACTTTAACGCAAAACTAGGCACAAGAGAGAACGGTGAGCTGAAAGTAGGGAAATTCGGAATAGGGCAACGGAACCGAAGGGGCCAGCAGCTGGCTAACTTCATGGAGAAAGAGGGACTCTTTATGATGAACTCTTTCTTCCAGAAGCGGCCCCACAGGAAGTGCACCTGGTCGAGCCCCGACGGTTCGACAAAAAATGAGATTGACTTCATTATGACGACCAGACGACAACTGTTCAGTGATGTCTCAGTGGTCACGAGGGTAAAAACCGGCAGCGATCACCGAATGGTGAAAGGCACACTGTCCCTAAACGTTAAGTTGGAGAGGTCACGTCTAATGAAGTCAACGCTCTGTCCCCCTTGTGCTCTAATCCAAAGTCCTGAAATCTTTCAGCTCGAGCCACGAAACCATTCTCAGTGCCTAGAAGATTGCATTGCAGTGGACGATATGAATGACTAGCTCGTGGAAACTGTCCATGCGGTCGGAGCTATGTTTTGCAAGACCCGCCGCAGAAGAACGCAAATACTCTCCGATCACACTCTTAATCTCATGGCTTAAAGAGACACTTCAATTTTATTTAATTGTATAGATTACAACAATATTTATTGAAAGTTATTCATGCTTTTACCACTGGTGCGAATAACATCGTATCGTATTAACTGCCTCGTTGTCTAGTGGTCGTAAACGCAACTGCTGATCATGTGGTCGCGGGTTCGAATCCCGGGACGGGCCAAAAGAAATCAGTTATTGATTTTTTCCGTCAAGAAATTCTCACTTGGCGGTGTTTCACCCCCGTGCCTCGTCAATACGCAACAACACGTGTAGATGATTGACATTTGGAAGAAAGGTAGAATTTACACCCTTCTACACACCAATTTTATATAAACTGTGACAAACGAGCACACAGTCCACCTGAAAGTGATTGGATGTAGTGACCCTTAGACATCTACCCTCGATCATCGTGGGGAAGGATGTCTGATAGGCTTGGGCAAAAAATATCGATATATCGAAATATCGATATTTTTAAATACAAGTACCAATATATATATCGTCGATGTTTTAAATCGCGACATATCAATATATTTATATTTATTTTATAGTATCAAATTCGTATCAATTTCGATATATTTGAAAATGTTGTATTAATGACAAAACATGTAACAACAAAAATAGGTACAAGAGTATTCATGTGTCACCGTCAGTAATATAAAATTTTGGACCTTATCTTTACATCATGCAAATGATAACAATATATCGATATATAGATATTTATCACGCAATATATATCGATACTGTTTAAAAATATAGATTCGATATATATCGATAAATTTTTTTCACTTGCCCATCCCTAATGTCTGAGTCTATAACGTATTCTGCAAACACGCATGGGGATGCTCGCGGAAATCTACCCCATATTTTTGTCACAGTCCACTTTATGGTAAGTGTATGCTGTGGCCCATAAATATCTTTTTTTTATAGGATCGGGTGACAAACGAGCACACAGTCCACCTGATGGTAAGTGGTTACTGTGACTCATAGACATCTACATCTATCCTCAATAAAGACTCAAGATGCAGATGCGTTGTCACCCGTGAGGACTAAGATGGAATGCCTCTTTGCCAGTAAAAAGGGTCTCCGGTTCTCTACACTCACCATACGAAACACAGCAGCGTTAAGCTGCTATTTTACGCCGGTTTTCTGTGAGAGCGTGGTCCTTCCCCGGTCGAGCCGACCCATTCGTGCTACAACCATAATATAGCTGCAGCATGGCTCTACCACGTAGAATCTATATCTTGCTTCGATTTAGGATTAAAATCCAAATGCGGCAGCATCCCATGTTAGTCGTCAGAGAATCACCTCTACTCACTATCACCCTAATTGGCCCTAAGGGAAGGCAAGCCTTAAGCAATGGGCTTGTAATGGGTTGTAATGATGAAATATTAGTAGTATAGTTGTAGCACGAATTGGTCGGCTCGACCGGGGAAGGTCCACGCTCTCACAGAATACCAGCGTAAAATAGCAGCTTAATGCTGCTTTTTTTTTGTATGGTGAGTGTAGAGAACCGGAGACCCTTTTTACTGGATAAGAGGCATTCCATCTTAGTCCTCACGAGTGATAACGAATCTGCATTTTGATTCGCAAAAGAGGATAGACGTAGATGTCTATGGGCCACAGCAACCACTTACCATCAGGTGGACTGTGTGCTCGTTTGTCACGCGATCCTATAAAAAAATTAAATGAACTGCACTACAGATGAAATAATTATGTTATACTTCAGAAACTACAGTAATACTCCACAAATCTACACTACAACTCACGTAATCACGCCACACGTCGCAATACTCACAAAGTAGTAATACGATTCCGACACAATACGTATAAGATAAAAAATAATTAATAATAATGCAAACGTCATAAGTAGCATATTGCAAAAAATATTTCCGAACAAGATAAAAATAAAAACACACTGATATTGTTACACGAGCAAAATTATTTTAACAGAATACGTGGTAGAGACATGCTGCAGATATATTTTGGTTATAGCACTAACTAATAGGTCGTTTCCACCGGGGTAGGACAACGCTCTCACAAAATACCAGCGTAAAATAACAGCTTAATGCTGCTGTGTTTCGTGTAGTGAGTGTAGAGAACCGCAGACCCCTTTTTAAGGGACCCGAAGCATTCCATCTAAGTCCTCAGGAGTCACAACGCATCTATTTTGATTCTTAATCGAGGATAAATGTAGGTGTCTATGGGCCACAGTATCCACTTATCAGGAGGGGTGTATGCTCGTTTGTCACCCTTATTCTATAAACAAAAAGAATAAAACTAGAAAGAATTATTAATCTCTGCAGAGTACAAACAATTTCATTACTTATTATCAGAATGCTGCAGTGTGTGAGCCTACTCCTTTTTAAAAGGCCGGCAACGCATGTGAAATTCCCCTGGTGTTGCAGTTGTTTATGGGCGGCGGTAGTCACTTACCATCAGGTGAGTCGCGAACAATACAAGTAGCTAGTAGCTAGTGAATATAATATTGAATGCAAGAAAAAAAACAAACAAGAAATATTTACTTAACAAAACCTTACTCACAAGTTGGGACAAAATTAATTAATGATACATAGAAAATAAGTCAATCAGGTTGTTTAGCAAACGTTAATCCAGTGCTGACTCGATTCTACTATCGTTATATTTTTATAGAATAAAAGTGAAAAATGAGCTCCCCTATAAAAAAAAGTGTAATCCACTATCATCTCTGCAGTAAGAGGCCAATGAAACTGAAAATGAGCAACAGCATCTTCCTGATATAAATTCTATTAATTGGAGATGGTAACATGGACTTTCTGAATCTACCAATACACTCAAAATGTGCCTAACGAAGTCTTAATTATCGTCTACGTCCTATAAATACATATCGACAATACGCGACGGCCTGTAATTTTTTGCTCAACAGTTCAATAGAAACAAACTTACAGGCGGTCACGTATACGGATAAATTATTAGATAATGGAATTCGATAAGTAAGTTCAAATCCACGATATTCTTTTGACCTTAAATGTAATTTGTAACAATTGATTATTATAATTTACTATAAAAGTTGATTTTGATTTGATTGATTTGATTTTGAAATTTTTATTCATTATGGCAATGCTATTAACTAACAGCTTACTTCTTCACCTAACTTTATACTTACGACTTTTTAGTTTCGTAGTTCAAAGTCAAAGTCAAAATTGGCCCTTGAAAAGCACTTTTTTAAAGTCAATAACTTACGATATCGCTTCAATACGTCCCTAATGCGGGGAGATCTTGGGAGAAAAATCGGCAACAAACTCACAAGTACCTAAACAATTGTTCTCCCAACAGTCATAAAATTATACCTACTGTAAAGCACCCGAAACGTCGGGAATTAAAACAAGTAAATTAAACGCGATAAAATCCGTAAAAATAGTTTTATTTAATCTCTTGATTTAATCAACTAATTTATAATCTTTTTCATCATCGATTAAGAATCGAAATGCAGATGCATCATCACTACTGAGGACTAAGATGTATGCCTTGTTATCAGTAAAAAAAAATCTCCGGTTCTCTACACTCACCATACGAAACACAGCAGCATTGAGCTTTTTCTCGCTGGTACTCTGTGAGAGCGTGGTCCTTCCCCTGTCGACCCACTCACGTTGCTGCTACATATATAGCTGCAGCATAAAAGAACCAACGTAAAAGAAGTAAAAGAAAATTTAAGGAATTTTATTTTGTTACCATTTAGAAGCAAGATATTTGTGGTTAACGTGTATAAAAATTGAAATGCAGCAGTATTTACACCGTTAAAAGAGTTTTTACCTCTACCGATTTTAAACAAGTGAGAGCTATCATCAGCATCCCTAGCGATCAAACTGCTGTATTTTCTTTGTTATTTTCGACTGTTTAACGCAATGAAAACAAAATATCCAGTATTCTCAACAATCTAGCACCATCGAAAATATATACTCCTAATTTTATATAACTTTGATAAAGATGTCGCATTGTAATAAGATCCGCAACAAAACAAATAATTATTAAATATTTTATAATAGCACCAAGATTGTAAAACACATGTAACCAGTGTGGCGATAGATAAATATATGCGTATTTATACAGACGGACAGTAATAAAATATATTAACATGTGATTATATACGAAGACTCGTGGAGTGAGAACTGCGCCATTTGTTGACTAAATATAAACAAAATGGATCCACAAGAGCTTGTGCCATTGGAGGGTGAGTAGTTTATGTTACCTTTTCTAGCGACTTCAAAAAGGAGTAGATTTTCTATTCCACTGTATGTTCTATTTTTATGTGTGTTAACTTATAACTATTCTGGCTGAACCGATTTCGATGATTCTTTTTTTGTTTGAAAGCTAGTGCTTCTCATGTGGTCCCATTTAAATTTGATCAATGTCTGACCAATGGTTTTTCAGTTATTATTAATAATTTATATTGAAATCGGTTGTACAACAATTTATTATTTTTAATTATTATCTCGACAACGGCGACACCTACCTGGGCCAATTTTAAATCTAAACCATCCAGGAACGCATTGAAACACGCACAAATAGAAATAATATTTCAAACACGTGTAAAGTTCGCCAACACGCATTATGGTCTCGTTCATCAGCCCGTGGGAGTCCCTGTGAAGATTGTACAAGAAACCCAAACGGACTTTTTTTATAGAATAAGGGTGACAAACGACCACACAGTCCAACTGATTGTGGCCCATAGACGTCTACATTTATAAAGAATCAAAATGCAGATGCGGTGTCATCCGTGAGGAATAAGATGGAATGCCTCTTTTCCAGTAAAAAGGGTCTCCGGTTCTACACTCAGCATACGAAACACAACAGCATCAAGCTGCTATTTTACGCTGGTATTCTGTGAGGGCGTGGTCCTTCCCCGGTCAAGCCGACCTATTCCTGCTACAACCACAATATAGGTGAAGCTTGGCTGTACCACGTAAAATATTAGTGTTTATTTATTTATTTATTCATTGCACCAACTAAGTGAACACCATAACATTCTTTAGAGTAATGAGAGCTAAAAAAAACTTGATTAGCGTCACCTTACTTTTTTTAATAGAAGAGGGGGCAAACGAACATACGGCTCACCTAATGGTAAGTGACTACCGACCCCCATGAACAACTGCAACATCCGGGGGAATCAAGGGAATTCCAGGTGCGATGTCGGCCTTTTAAAAAGGAGTAAGCTATTTTCTTGAAGGTCCCTAAGAGATATCGTACGCGGAAGAAAACTTTCAACCAAACGTACAATGGTGGACCGCCAAGCATCCAGATGGTGGGGATGGTATCGGGACGTTTGCCGTAATGTGCGTTCGTGTAATTTGGCGGCTGGGATTAATCCACTTAATCACACGTGTACACATTACATAGTATGAAAAAAGTAACAGAAACAAACATTACGTTTTTGAATAATGATTTATAATAATTTACAATGTTATACAACTAAGCTAGAAATGCTAGGGAACTACTACATAACTAACTACATATATTATCAATCAAAAGTATATTCATGATGAAATTATATGCCCTAAACTCCAACTTAAAAACATAGACAAGTCGGCATGAAACACGCCTCTCGCTTTTTTTACATCCATATTATGTACGCTCGACGGTCATGATTGCCTGGTCATACGATCTACAATAATGTGTGAAATCAGGATCACGCGACCAAAAAACACCGCCATAAACACCTCTCACAGGCCATAAAATTCCACTGCTGAACATAAGACTCCCTTTAGATTTCCTTATATTGAGGGATATTTGCCATAGTTTTTTTAGTAGGATAGGGTGACAGTCCACAGAGTATCACAGAGTATCAATCACACCTGATGGAAAGTTATTGCTGTGACCCATAGACTACATATATCCTCTGCCGATGCGTTGTCAGCCGCGAGGACTAAGATGGAATGCCTCTTTTCCAGTAAAGAAGGTATCCAGTTCTCTGCACTCTCCATATGAAACACAGCAGTGTTAAGCTGCTATTTCACGCTGGTGTTCTGTGAGAGCGTGTTCCTTCCCCGGTCGAGCCGACCCACTCGTTCTATAACTATACTGCTAATGTAGCTGCAGCATTGCTCTACCACGTATGAAGTTACCACGGTGGCAACCGCATTTTCTATATTTAAGTTGTTATCAAGAAGACACTGCTGCCCTTCTGCTAGTTTGTTGCCATCTGTGGCCTTTTGCGATACCCACGGGAAAATATGGGGTAGTGGATAATCTAACACCTCCACTACACTAGTAAACACGTACGCAACTACACGGTTGCTAATAACACTAATAATTACTAGTTGTATTCTAATTAAAAATTTCTACTCTTGCAGCGGGCCTGGCGAACCGCCCACGACCAACTCGCCAGATCAGTCAATTTACTTCAAGATCCTGCTATCAGGTGCCAATCAAACTCTGTAGAATGCTGGCTCTGATGATCGTCGTTCCTTGTTTATTCATCTTCGTGCCACTGTATATGAAGTAAGTGAGCTGATAGTATAATATTAGTATAATATCTTTAAGTATAATTTCATTATTACGAGGTAGAGCCATGCTGCAGCTTTATTATAGTTGGGACCATGGAAACACCACGCTCTCGCAGAATACCAGCGTAAGCTGTTATTTTATGTATACGCGGTAGAACCATGCTGCAGCTATATTAATTATATAGTTGTAGCACGAACGGATCGGCTCGACCGGGGAAGGACCACGCTCTCACTGAATACCAGCGTAAAATAGCAGCTTAACGCTGCTTTGTTTCGTTTGGTGAGTGTAGAGAACCGGAGACCCTTTTTTACTGGAAACGAGGCATTCTAACTTAATCCTCACGGGTGACAACGCATCTGCATTTTGATTCGTAATCGAGGATAGAGTTAGAGCCACAGCAGCCACTTACCATCAGATGGACTGCGTGCTCGTTTGTCACCCTATCCTATAAAAAAAACGTTAGTATCCTCGGTTAAGGATCAAAACGCAGATGCGTTGTCACCCCTGAAGACAAAAATGGAATGCATCGATTCCAGTAAAAAGGTTCACCCGATCTCTTCACTCACCATATGAAACACGGCAACAATAGCTGCTATTTTACTCTGGTAATCTGTGAGGGTGTTGTCAGTACCTGATCAAGCCAACCCATTCGTTCTACAACCATAATATAGCTGCAGCGTGGCTCTACCACGTTGTACGAACCTACAATTACCGATATTTTTTCATTAACAGTAGTATTGGACTATGGATCTAGAAATAGATGTGTTGCTTGTTGTTTCTAGGCCACAACAGGCTAAAAATATTTTTTATAAAAACCAGATTCAATAAGATCGGGTAGCGTGACCTTGACAAAACGACAATAAAGCACAACCTCTCCGCTTCGCGTTCGAGTATTTTCATAATAATAATACAAATCTTCCTATTCCAGATACCGAGTGTTCTCCGGCCAGATGTACCCGATGAGCATGACTGATATGAGATTGATCGATAGCAGAATATCACCGACTTGGTGTCAGGTAAGTCACCATGATTCTGTCTACAGCATTGTCCACAAATATTCTGCTATTCACGCTCTTGCATCTGTATCGATAGTGATCCAAATTGAGATACGTAACTAGACAGTGTTGTATATTGTAGTGACTGATGTAGTAGACTGTCTCGGTGGCCTAGTGGTCGTGAACGTGGTTGGTGATCGTGAAGTCCCGGGTTCGAATCCCAGCTCCAGCCTAAAATCAGTTACCTGTTTGGTTTTTCTATCAAGAAATTCTCAGTAACAGCCCGGAGTCAGGTGGCTGGTGTTTCACCTCCTTGTCTCGGAAAACACATAAGCCGCATCTATAGCCGTACTTGTATGAAGTTGGCTGCAGGTGTCCATGGACTGCAGTAGCCACTTACTTCCAGGTGGGCTGTAACCTCGTCTGTTTTTATACGTGGTAGAGCCATGCTGCAGCTATATTGGTAGTATAGTTGTAGCGCGGATGGGTCGGCTCGACGGAGGAAGGACCACGCCCTCACAGAATACCAGCGTACAATGGCAGCTTGACACTGCTGTGTTTGGTATGGTGAGTGTAGAGAACCAAAGTCCCATATCTTCGTGCCACTGTATATGAAAAAGGCATTCCATCTTAGTTCTCACGGGTGACGATACATCTGCATTTTCATTCTTTCTTGAGGATACATGTAGATGTCTATGGATCATAGCAACCACTTACCATCAGGTGGACTGTGTGCTCGTTTGTCACCCTATCCTATAAAAAAAACTTTAGTTTTATAAAACTCTCACGATTGCCTTTCACGGTCATTCGGTCACATCGAGACAGCAATAGATCCTTAAAGTTCTTTTCTTACAGCGCAGATATTCTCTTAAGAATAGATATAATGTAAAATAACAATGTTGTACAAGCGATTTCAATATAAATTATTAAGAATAACTTAAAAACTATTGGTCAGACATTAATCAAATTTATATGGGACTATATGGGAAGCATCAGCTTTCAATTAAAAAAAGAATCATCGAAATCCGTTCACCCAGAAAAAGATATGAGGTAACACATAAAAAAACCATACAGTCGAATTGAGTACCTCCTCCTTTTGAAGTCGGTAGAAAATTAGACAATATATAGACTTAACTTCTAAGCATCTCTGTCATATCGAAGCACTTTCAATCTCGCCTAGATAACCTAATTGCGTCTGTACTTTTCCATAATCGAGAGCTATTTATTAACTATTCACTTTTACCTTATCATAGCTGAGCGTCAGTAAGTCTGTCTATCTGTCAATGATACGTCCGTCGAGATAAGCTATCGGTAGAAATTATAGACAATCGTCATTTTTTGTTAAGTTGAAGCCTAGTTCTACTTCATCTCGTCTCTTCTTCCCATTAATCTTTCAATTTTCAACTGCTGAGCGTAGGGCTCTTTTTTTACCGACTTCAAAAATGAGACGGTACTTAATTCTACTGTATGTTCTTTTTTATGTGTGTTACCTCATAACTTTTTTCTACGTAAACCGATTTCGATGATTCTTTTTTAATTGAAAGCTGGTGCTTCTTGTGTGGTCCCGTATAAATTTGATCAAGAACTGACCAATAGTTTTGAGTTGTACTTAATAATTTATATTGAAGTCGCTTGTACAAAATTTTTACTTTTCAATTATTATAGAATAAAGTTGACAAACGAGCACACAGTCCACTTGATGGTAAGTAGATGCTGTGGTCCATAGACAGTTTTAAATAAATATAAAACTAGCTATACAATTAATGTTACTAATATTTCCTTTAACCTCTTCAAGCTTAAAAGGCCTGTACTAGGAGTGGTTCACGACAGTAGTCGAATGAGGGATTCGAACCCACGACTTTTGAGTTCATCCTGCCATTATGCTACTGTGGCTTAAACATTTCATATCATCTCATCGATTAAGAATGAAAATGCAGATGCGTTGTCACCTGTAAGGACTAAGATGGAAAGCCTCGTTCCTAGTAAAAAGTGTCTCCGGTTCTCTTCACACACCATACGAAACACAGCAGCATAAAGCTACTATTTCAATTTCTTATGACCTCATTTATGTTTTCCCTTTTCCAATTAAGAACCAAACAAATTGCCTAAAACATATTAAAGTTTCCAGTATTCCCTAGCGCCAAGTGGTGAAGTCGAACGCCACGTTCAACGCGTTCGTGGTGCCGGGACCTCCGGCCTTCGCTGATGAACTGGTGCCCGTATCCATGACACGGGAATTGGAGTTGGAAGACGATATGAAAGAATACTGGGGATTTTATCTTTTGAAAGGATCTAGTGTGACCGTTTCCACTTGTGTCAGGTATGTTACCGTTACCGTTACGGACCATTAAAGTCCACTGTTGAACATAGGCCTCCTCATATATTGTCGCACAGAGTGGATATTTGCCATAGTTGCCACTGTGGCCGTGGAAGGAAAAAGGGGAGATCTCCCGCCGGTCAAGGCGATCGGCCCGGGGAGCAGTCACTTTTCTTACTTTTTAATTTACTTTTTTTCCGGATCGATACGACTTAGGAACCTTCAAGAAAAGAGCCTACTCCTTTTTAAAAGGCCGGCAACGCATCTACGATTCCCCCTGGTTCCCCTGGTGTTTCAGTTGTTTATGGACAGCGGTAGTCACTTACAATCAGGTGAGCCACATGTTCGTTTGCCCCCTCTCCTATCAAAACATACTTACTTTTTAATCTTTCTTATCTACTTTTCCTTAAATATTACTATTTAGTATGTGAATATATTACGTATATAAATACTTATGACAGACCCATATTAAAGGCGCATGCCCAACAGTGGACACTTTACAGGCTAAAGAGGAAGACGTCGAGATTATATTGGTTACTATAAACATTTATCGATCGTTTAAAGTGTGGGTAGCGCAATGGCGTCATATGAAATGTACGCAACGCCCCGTCTATCTTTCTTTGTTCATCTGAGTTAGTAGCATGATCATTATCAAATATTATTATCTTTTATCGTGTCACTAAGAGTGATAATCTTTTTACTTGAATTATGTTGACTATTGATATGCTAGGCGATCGTAAATCAGAAAGTATTGTAATTAAATAGATAGGCAATTCACTAAATGATTATATTAATTGATTACTGATAAAAAATTGTCATTATAGGAGACCATTTAATTGCTAAGTGAAGTTATTGCTGTTTTTTTAGGGTTCCAATGTCATATTATATCATTTTGTTGAGTAATTTTATTATAGATGATCTTTAATGAGGGCTAATAATTTTCTGCTCACCAGATGTCGCTAGTTGACACTGAGTTAAAGTTTTTTTGTTACGCAATGTCATTTAATTGAGAAGTTAGTTTTTAATAAAAGTTTATCAGTTTCTATAGTATTATATTAATATACAAAACAATGCCTCAGTGGCTTGCTCTTTAATTTTTTGCACATTTTTAACTTTTTTTTTAATTTTTCAACTTTTGTGAATATCTGTTGTTCGGTTTATTTATTTTTAATCTAATATAAAATATAACTAATAGTACAGAAAGAAATATTAACCTTTACATTTTCCAAACAAATTAGCTTTCCCGCTATGAAATCTGTCAAATATTATACCTCACTTTTAAGTGGCGCCGCCCTGGTGGCAGAAAAAGTCGTGGATGCCCCTCATTACCTATGAGTCTATTCCTTTTCAACTTTGATTAAGAATATCGTATTGTTGTATCGTATTGTCACTTGTTGTAAGGTGCAAAAATGTTTACATTCCCAGCTTTACAATGTCAAAATTTGAGCTTCTACCATATTATGTTTACACAAAGTTGCCTCGTTAGTCTAGTGGTGTTAAACGTAACTGATCATGAGGTCCTAGGTTCAAATCCGGACGGGGACAAATTCAGTAATTGGGTTTTCTGTTAACAAACTCTCAATAGCTGCCCGAAATCAGGAAATTGGCGTTGTAACAACCCGGTGCCTCGAAAGCACGTTAAGCCGCCAACAAGCACGGTTCTCTATGCTCGTGTAAGCCCTTACTTCAAAAAAAAACTAATTTCATTCTTAACGAACTTACATTGTCTTGAAGTATGACTATATAATATAATAGATCGGACCAAAAAATAATACTCAAAAGCAGAAGGTAGTTGAGCTAACTATAACATACGGACCTCAAAAACCTTAGTCTACCCGTGACCATGGGTGCAGCAAAGCACCTGAAACGTCGGGAATTAAAAAGTTTAAATTAAACACGTAAAATTAGTTAAATTAGTTCGTTTAATGTGGAGTGTTTGCGGAAATATTAGAAATCATAATTTATTTCTCCTTTTGACAGATGGCCAGGAGCATCCCTCATCATGATCAAAGGCTACAAACACCTTCAGGAATGCGCGTATATCGGAGACAACTCATCCGAGGAATTGGACGAGTTATACGAGGCATACGAACTAGGTCTCCTCTCGAATACTACGCTACTGCAGAAAGTGCAAGAGTTAAAGAAAGTGGACGGGAAAGCCAATGATCCAGGTACGTCTTTGTATTTTGAAGCGCTTTGATAGACGTTATATCATCTATTATTGTGACATAGTGATCAACGCGGTATACATAATTGGCCTTGATATCTGAACTAGGTGGTAAGACTGTTTTATACTATGGTTAAATTACGTTTAGGGACCCCTCATATACTCAGATGTTGACTATCGTGGGGTGTTAGCAGGTAGGATTAATATAAATAAATTTTTAAATCATCTACATACAGTAAAAAGTCACAAAATACAAGGCAATCGTGTATCTCATTAAAAAATAAGATCAATAACAATGGACCTAAAATGGAACCTTGTGGTACGCCAAAATTAATTATGACGATTTGACGATATCTGATTGTTTGTATCCGTTAATTACCACTTTTTTGGTACGGTTAGTTACGTAGGATTTAAACCAACGCCATAAATCACCACGTGTACCATTACAAGCAACAATATATGTTGAACCCTTCTGTCAAAAGCCTTTCGAAAGGCCGTATATTATACATTATCTGTTTGTTTTTGGCATCTACTCCTTCAAACAGATATGATGCAAAAATTAATAGATTGGTTTTAGTAGACTGCCGTTTTACAAAACCATGTTGTGTTTGACAATAGTTTTATGTATGGAGGCTTATATAGTTAAGCGTTACAAACTAATCTTGCTAGAAGCTTCAACCGAGTATTTATATTAGATATGGGTGGTAGTTTACATGTTCTCTATCACCATCTTTAAAAACTGCACAATACGTACAAATTTAAAAAAAAATTGGAAATACTCCTTCCCGTAAACACTACTTCAAAATTTAATTTAAATATTTGTAGATTGCTGAATCTGTAGATTCTCTTTCTTTTTTCCATCAGATTATATCAATTGTTCACAGGAACCATGAAACGGCACAAAGCTGGTGTGAGCTTTCACGACCCAAAGCAAATGGCCAATATGACTTCTTCGGACCCTGTTCCTAGTATCGATGTTACGGATCACGATCCAAAGGTATGATTATCATCATAAGCGTGTTATCAGTTCACTGCTAGGGACCGGCCTCAAAATTCTGGTGGCCGTTTATTAGATGCGCTTTTAAACGTGGTAAAACCATATTCCAAATATAGTAATGAAATAATGTCTTCTAGCCTGTATTTTAGTCACGACGGTCAGTATTACGGACGACGGAGACTAGCTATCTGCGCAGTACAGGATCTCAGTGCATGAGTATGTGCACGAGTATTTGTGCACAGGTGCACTTTCAATTCCCTCGGTCTCATAGTCCGATGGGACGGTATTTCGACACGAACGGAGGGACATCCGCCGTTGTACCAACGGCTTTATGTGCTTTCGGAGGCACGGGGGTGAAACACCTTAGAATTTCTGATTCTGCTACTGAAATTTAACTTTGAAGTTTGCCGTGTAGTGACGGTGGCGATGTAAGATTATCTACTACTCCATATCATCCCGTAGGTATCGTAAGAGGTATATACATAGGTACATACAAACCAGTAAATGGGCAGCACCGTCTACTAAATAAAATTACCGACCAAAATTTCGTCCGCCAAGCGTGACAACTATGGCAAATATCCTGTCCTATGTTAAGAAGTGAATATTTTCTGTAATGGAAGGACGAGTTGTGTACTTTGATATTTAAGACTCACCTTAAATTACCACAGATTAATATGAAACTGCATCTTCCATTTTCACTGTCCTTTAACAGGAGCTGAGAGAAATCCTCGAACGTCTTCACGCAATCAGGCAGGCCGCTAAAGATGAACAGCTGAAGTACTTCCACCCGCCATCACACCTCATGGCCCTTCCAGCTCTTCATCGACACAGAGATGCTAACGTAGACCGAGACGAGAGGAAATGGTTGTCTTTTAAAGGTAAATCATTATTTTTTATACTTAAGAGTGAATAACGAGCACAAAGTTCTCCTGATGGTAAGTGGATGCTGCGGCCCATAGATGTCTGTGGGCCGCAATATCAATCCTCGATAAAGAATGCATTTTTACCTCTGAGTACTAAGATGGAATGCCTCGTTTCCAGTAAAAAGGGTCTCCGGTTCTCTATATTAACAAAACAGCTAAGTAACAAAAATTCAAATGAATAAATACTCAGACCCAAAAACAATCGCTAGGTCGTGCAAATTTTTAATCTATGCAAGAATCAACAATATGCATCGCACGAATTGTATCAAACGAATTATAAAATTATTTATATGAGTTGAACAAATTCGTCCATTGATCCGCTAATAACACCTCAAAATAATAAAAAGCTGCGACTGCCAATACGCTTGTCAAGGCACCTATGGGAAAATTCCCCTTAAAAGGCAATTCATGCGGAGGGCTTACGTTCAGCAGTTTACTTTTATACGTGTAATGTATTGATGGATGGCAAAAGTAAAACCGTACGAGCTACCAAAAAAAAACAAATACCAACGAGTGTATACATAATAACTACTGATTCTCACTATCTAATTCCGATTCAGTGACTAATTATGATAACGATTATTTAAAAATAATAACCACATTAAATATGCTAATAATCATAGAATGAAATTATATAATATCATCTGATAATGAGATAATATCATGATTTCTGAAATCATGCGAAACGACAACACTTCAAGAACTATTACGTACGAAATCATTTCACACAGGACTCGACAACTTGATGATGATGATGAAACGTACGAAAATTAAGAAATGTCTTGTATCATTGGTACTTTTATCCCGACAAAAGATTATCAGCGTGAAGTAGAGGTTTACCTTTGCGTTTCGCTTGGTGAGTGCACGTGGCCGGAGGCCCTCTTTACTGGAAATGAGGCATTCCATCTTAGTCCTCACGGGTGACAATGCATCTACATATTGATTTGTAATAGAGGATAGATGTAGATGTCTATGGGCCACAGCAACCACTTACCATCAGGTGGACTGTGTGCTCGTTTGTCACCCTTATCCTATAAAAAAAAACAACATTTAGATGACGAAATATGATAATGGCTTTTCCTACGCCACCACCATGATAAATTGCATTGATCATGTAACGCAGACACTTCTGTAATGCACAACTTAAGAGCCCAGTAAATATTGTACGCTCACCCTATTTCAATAACCTCAAACAAACACTTCAAAGATAACAGTTACGCAGCTGATGGAGAACAATTGATAATTGCAAATGTACTTTAATCCTACTGATAAGCATCATGTTAGAAGGCACAATACATTTATAACAGTTTCTCTTCATCTTTTTCATTTCTTCTTCCTTATTAGGCCATGAAAGTCCACTGGATATAGACCTCTCCCGTTGTATAGGATTAATCGTAATATGAATACTTGACATTGGTTCTTATAGTTCTTAAAAAAACGTTACCCCTACACTAGGATTATCTCCTGTATCGTGGAGGCAGTTTAAATAGGCCATACAGATACTTGTTCCATACAGAATTCGAACCCGTGGGCCCCAGCGTAGCAACTCATTGCTAAGCCACTGCGCCACAGAACCATCAAACATTTGGATTGACGATCGCAGCACCAGTCGTAAGCACCTCCAACGCTGCTTGTGACCGGTTTAAATACGAGTATTTTACATCTGGCGTAAACGAGTTTGTCATACCACAATCTATAAATCAAGCATATACGATCCATAGAAGCCAAAAAAAATTCTACGATATCATCGAAATGAGACGTTATGATGGATTATCTTCCGGTATAGTAAATCTGAATTAATAGATTTAAATTAATTTCTATTGGTTGTTTTTCTGGCCTAGTTATAAAGACACCACTCAACCATCACCATCCTGATAATAATAATAATGTTAAAAAATTGTGGTTGCCAACCCGTCTGTCAAGCATGCAAGGGCAAATAACCCCCCCCCCCCCTCAATATGAGGAGAGTTCCCCTGTGAGCGAAAAGTTTGACTTGTAATAGCAAACAACCATTTTTTGGAAATTTATTAAAAGTAGCAAAATGAAATAGATATGAAGTACAAAAATAAAATAAGCATCTTGAAAAATTTATTGACAATCTGTATTAGAAATCTGGAACTTTAAATTTGAACGGACCAGAATACCTCATTCGGAGAAACCTCTCTCCCAGCAATGGATTAATTTGCATCCACCATGATAGTTGTAGAAATTTCTGAAGTCAACTTAAAGGAATTTATTATATCATTTAATTAAATTGTATAACCATTTTTCCATTTATTACAGACATAGACGGAAATAACAGTGATCACGTCATCGCTACGACAACCATGAAACCGCTTAACAGAACTAAGGAAGTAGGAAATCCAGTTAAAACAGACAATAACGCAATGAACAAATCTGAACAAACAACCGAGATTGTTAAAGATATAGAAACTGCAACAAATAAAACAATTGCAAATGATAATAAAACCGTGATTGTGACGGAAAATTATGAAGCGCCTACAACGTTAAATGTGAAATTGGATTTTCAAACGCCTGAAATGGAAGTAAGTATGCAGTTAAAGATTTGGAATGCTAATGCTATGCTATTTTATAAAGATTTAATTATATTAAATAAATACTTATCCTATAAAAAATTCTTCCTTTTTTATAGGGTAAACATGACAAGCGAGCATACAGTCCACCTGATGGTAAGTGGTTAATGTAGCCCATAGAGATCTACATCTATCCTCGTTTGCAAATCAAAACGCAGACAAGTTGTCAGCCGTGAGTACTAAGAGGTAATGACTCTCTTGTAGGAAAAAGGGTCTCCGGTTCTCTACACTCTCTATATAAATAGATAGATAGATAAATACACGAAACTAAAGCGTATTAAAACACATTTCACGCAAATTATTTTGCTACACCCATTTAAAACTAATCCCATTATAGTGTTATAAATTTCAAGCAGTGGAAATTGCTTTAAGCATAAACTGTTCTTATCAAATAAGAACGATTGTTAGACATTACAGCATATTATCATTGTTGATTATTGTTTCAAGGATGCTAGACGTATGTTAATATTTATAACATATATATATATATATGAATATCGGCAACAGCGCCAGCTATCGGGTCCAAATGCGAATCTTAACTATCTAGGGACCTATTCAAACACAATAAATTTCACCAAAATCGTTCGAATTGATTTTTAGTGTTATAATATACAGGTTTAGTTTTCAAAGAGGTGCGAAAGAACAATGGCCAAATTTCTATAGGAGCTGGACTTAACTTTTATTTTTCATGTCCCAAAACAAACTATAGCTAGATTGGCTTCTTTTTATGTTGTAAACACGATCCCGTTTGAAAACCATATTTAAATAGCCACAATTTTTTATAATAACGTCAACAATACTTTTGACGTTAGCATCATATATGTAATCTTCTTCAGTGATCTAAAATAAGAATTAGATTTGTATTATGATTGTATGTGATGGTTTATGTAAAATAAGTAGGTATGTAAATATGTAATATTATTGAAGAATTCCACTCGTGCAACTTATAAATTACTCTGGTATCAAGCTCAAAAATGAGATGGCGGCGAAGTGTATCAATGCATATGTTACAATTAACACATAGCAATCGCAGGGCTAGTTGACGTTGTAGTCTAGCTGTAGTCTGCATGATATCTCTCACAAATAAGCAAGATGCAAAATCGGTGTCCAGAAATCAAAAGCACAGAATAATCGTTACAAGTGGTAGTTATCAGTCCGTAAAACAATGCCGAGGTGAAAACAACTGAAGGAAATCTATAATAGTTCAGTACGTATCACAATCCACAACAACGAGTGAAGCAAATAAGATGATGCGAATGATTGCCATAGATAAATAGATAGATAGAATAGATGATCACAGATTATGTAACTTGTCGATGACAAATGATTTTCCGTTGTACGTAATTGAACAAATCGCTTAGATTACTATGAAGCTGCATAATTTTTTTATGATATGAATCCAGTACATAATAAATCAGTATGGTAGTTGATTTTGCCTACATACTAATTAAATTGAATTACAATTAACAACTATTCAGAAAAACATGAATAATTATAGTCTTTGAATACAAAGTCCTTTCATACGTGAAATGAGTCGTCATTAGGTGCGTTCCAGTGCGTTCAGAAACCATTATCTATATACTCTATACAAATAAATAAAATTGAAGTGTCTGTTTGTAATATTAAAATAACAGCTTTTTACTAAGTACGTATGAATGTATACACGGTACTTATAACAAAAACAAAATTTTAAAAGTCAAAAGTCTATCTGTCGGTCTGTCTGTCTGTTTGTTCTGGCTAATCTCCGAAACGGCTATACCGATTTTGACGGGATTTTCACTGCCAGATAGCTGATTTTCTAAGGGGTAACTTAGCCTACTTATATTTGAGAAAAAGTATTAGGGTTCCGAGCGATATAATTAAAACCCTAAGTAACATGCGAGAGACGTCGCAGGTAACAGCTAGTTTTAAATAATTTCGGAACAGTTACAAAAACAAAAACAAAAGGATAACTTTTTTGTAGCTTCTTAGACAGGTATTTTTTGTGCCTTTTAAGGGCTTAAAAATAAGGATATTTTTCATAAATATAGCATATAGTGACGCCATCGTTTCATCGTCTGGTACGATTTGGCCAACCTCCTTTCATTAACTAAATTTCATATATATTTTTTTTGAGATATTTTTTTTATTTTTTTTTTATCACCTTTTGCCTATATTACTTATTCTGAAACTCCTCTGCAAATTTTGGCGGTTTTTGCAAAATAACCCTGTATAGAACAGAGATAAATAAAAAACTATTGGTAAATCCAATTATGCATGCATTAAGTGCATTAAAAAATTACGTATAACATGCTAATAACCATTTTTTAAAGTAGTTTAAATAAATTCAAGATTTCACTAATAACAAAAAAATTATATAATTTTATAATATTAAAAAAATTAAATAAAAAATTAATTATAACTAAACAAAACAAAATTAAACTGCCATTTACATGGGCTTCCCACATGATAGATGAAGAGTTTAAAAAATATATTGCGTTAAACAATTGATATTTTCAAAAGGTATCGTTTTTATGAAACCATGCGCACTTGATAAATCTACACCTTATGCCAAATAGCAATTGATCGATTTGAAAAAAAAAAGAAGTTCAACAATAATTTATCTTTCTGACAATGTTCTTTTTATATCATTTATATGTTCAATATGCTTGTTAGATACGATTTTATGCGACAAAACGTTGGAATCATGATTTTTACATACATACCTACGCGCTTTGCGCTTAAGGCATACCAAACCATTTATATATATATATATACATCATATGTACAGCATTATACAACTATGACGTATAATAGCGGAGTATAAGGTACCTATATCTTCTAATTTTATCTCGTCGGTATCTTAAAAGTAATGAAATGAAAATAATTTATGCAACTTTTACAACACCCATGATAAAATAAGATGTTCTCATGCCGCCTTTACACGTTGAAACACTTTATCCGATAAAACTTAAGACCCGTAAGCACTGTAAATAATTGATATATCAACCGATAACGACAAGTTCATCGACAAATACTGGTAGATAAAACGTTGTTCAATCGTCGATCGTCGTTGATCGACAAATAATGCGGTCAGTGGAGAGGAGCGGGTTCTCGAGTAATCAAGCAGCTCGATCGACGTCCACTAATCCATTCCACCATCGATCGATGCCATCGATCGACTATAGATCGATTGTTGTGGTAACACCCTTAGGGTTACCGTTTCTAAAATTAAAAATTTTAGTACAACCGACTTCAATGTAAATTGAGAACATAAACAATGGAGTTGAAGTCAATTAAATACGCATTATTAAAGATAACTCAAAAACTACTAGTCTGATCTTTATCAAATTTATATGGGATCACAAGAAAAGTACACGCTTTCAAATAAAAAATTAGTCATCAAAATCGGTTCACCCAGAAAAAAGTTGTGAGGTAACACACATAAAAAAGTGTGTGTATTAGCTTCGACGCACAACTGCAGTTTACTCCTTATGAACGATTATAAAATATGTAGATTGATAAATGAGGGTCAATGAACGCATTTTTTGTATTACTGAAAGCAAGCATGATACATATATTTATATTAATTATATATAATTTATATTCATCAAAATAAATTATATAATTTATATTCAACAAAATAAATAAAATAAACATGAATACATAACGTAACGCATAACGTAACTTTTGATTTTACTCCTCATTCATACCCCAGGCTTAAAATGAAAATCCTTTTTAGAAAGCCGGTTAAAACATTTAGTGCTTATGCTAATACTGTAATTTTTATGAATATTGCAGTTCAAGAGTACAAATAGCGGTTTAGGTAATGATATAGAAATAAAAGAGACATATCATTCCGTATCAGCTTCTGTGATTCACGCGTCATATATGCTCACGCTCTCACTGAATACCAGCGTAAAATAGCAACTTAATGCTGCTGTGTTTCGTATGGTGAGCGTAGAGAACCGGAGACCGTTTTTACTAGAAACGAGGGTTCCATCTTAGTCCTCAAGCGTGACAACGCATCTGCATTTTGATTCTTAATTGAGGATAAATGTAGATGTCTATGGGCCACAGCAACCACTTACTATCAGGTGGACTGGATACTCGTTTGTCACCCTTATCCTACAAAAAAAACTAAATATTGACCTTTTGTACAATCCAAATTTTATTTTATTTTCGTCTTTCCACAGACTAACAATGGCGGAGTTAACTCAAAGGAAGTGTTTGAGGACGTCCTAAAACAACTCCAAGCGCTGGGTGATAGAGGGAAGAGGGTCCTATTCCGACTGCACAAATCCATGGGCGTAGATTTTGAGGCGGAGGTAAGGTTTGTGAATTATTTTGTATAAGTTAACTGAAACTACGTTTACGTGGTAGTCCCATGCTGCAGCTATATTATGGTTGTAGAATGGGTCGGCCCGACCAGGAAAGGACCACGCTCTCACAGAATAGCGGCGTAAAATAGCAGCTTTGATACTGCTGTGTTTCGTATGGTGGGTGTAGAGAACCGGAGGCCCTTTTACTGTTATGGACCACAGCTTCCACTTACCACCAGATGGACTCTGCGCTCGTTTGTCATCCTTATTCTATATTTTTTTAAACAAATTTTATGGACTTTGTCGCGTATAATTCCCGAGTCCCACCCCCTTCCCCTGATGACCATGGGTGCTGTATGCGTGCACTTATGGTGCCCTATTATAATAAATATTCATACTATTACACAGTCACAGAATATTAAAGTCCACTGCTAAACATTGGCCTCCCCATAAATGCCTCATAGGGAATATTTTCCATAGTTGCCACGTTTGGTTAGACAAGCGAGTAGCCGCAGAAATTACACGGCTGTACAAGCAAACAACAAGATTTCGAACCGCCGACGCTGTGGTAACTCCAGTTATAAGAATTGACAAAACCAGTAAGATGACCACAAGAGTCTCCACAATCCTCTTAAAAATTTAAGTCCACAATATTGTTTTAAAAATTGACTTTTCTTTCCTTGCAGAGGTTGAACAAGTCCGTGATAATGTCAAAAGTGACCGGCAGTGACGAGGAACTGGATCGGCTGCGACAAGTACTGGTGGAAGCAATCGATGAAGAAAAGAACAGGAGTCAGAGACAACGTAACTTTTTTTTTGTATTTACATGAATTTGATATTTATTAACACTTAAAGACTATATGGGTCGGTTTTAAAAACTATATGGAGCGGAACTAAAACTCAATTTTGTTTATCACACATTTAAATAGTTACCACCTTTATTTACTCCGTATTCATAATTCCCATTAAACAATCACATGCAATTACACAGAATTTTAGTTAAGGTTTCAAAAGCCTAATTATTAAGTGGCGAAGCTTGCGAAGTCACTTATTGATTTCACGATGTCTGTCCGTCTGTCCGTCTGTCCGTCTGTCCGTCTGTCCATCTGTCCGTCTGTCCATCTGTCCGTCTGTCCGTCTGTCCGTGTGTCCGTCTGTCCGTCTGTCCGTCTTTCCCACGATTATCTCGAGAACGGTTTCGAATTTTCAAATTCTGTTTCCAGCAATCGATTACTGATCACCCAGGCATCTGAACCTCCTATTTTGAAACTGATTGCTCAACGGCAACCGTTAGAAACCGCTACAAAGCTGATTGCTTCGCCACTTTGCTATGCTGTTAGCTTGCTAGGTTTATTATATTAATACATAGATGTAATAGAAGATGTAGGTAGATGAGAAATGATTTAGTATGCAACGGTACCATAGAGTATATTATCACTACGTTTTGAATAGTATTTAACGGGTCAGTTCTCTTCGATCGCCTCGATTCACTAGCGCTGCGAAATGTTAAATGCCTCTGCATTATCAATCTCATTTACCTCGAGGAGTGCTCTGAGGAATTGTTCAGATTAGTTCCAGCCGCCAAATTTCACCAACGCACATCGCGACAAAACTTACGCTACCGTCCACATCATCTGGATGCTTGGTGATCCACTAGAGTACGATTTATTAGGAGCTTTCTTCCTCGTACAACTTCCTTGTGGAATAGTTTACCACCGGCGATACTACTTATGGACTTCCAGGAAACAAGCCTACTCTTTTTTTTTAAAGATTGGCACCGGCAATTCCCCTAGTGTTGCAGTTGTTTATTGGCGGCAGTCGACACCATCAGGTGAGCCTAAAGCTCATTTGCTCCCTCTTTTATAAAAAAGGTAGTCAGGTTGTGACCTCTGCCAACTGAAATATCTTCATACCCTCTTAATACACTTAGTTTCTTACCACTCTTATTGGAACAAAGCAAAGGGTGCACTACTTGGCAATAGAAAAAAATATTTATCATGTTTACCATTCCATATTGAGCTATAACAGAGGTAGGTTTTTTTTTTAATCATCATCCCCCGACATATTGATCGGGGACCTAGTGTAGCTGAGTGGTGTGTATATATATATATATATATATATATATATATATATATATATATATATATATATATATATATATCTCGGAAATTACAACAGGAGATCCCACTTCTATTGTCGGAGAATTCAACAGAGGATTCCAATTTGTAGTCTCGGAAATACATCAGGATAGCGTTTTTTGTTAAAAATAATGAAAGTGTGAGAGCGGATGTTCAACTTGCTCTCTTGCTTACGTAGTTAATCATTATCAGTAATAAGACAACGTAACGCACAATACATTAAGTATAGTTCAATTACAGTTCAACCACACCGTAACACGTCTCCGCCACAAACACGGTGTAACGTGAGGTATCTACGTAATTACATGATAACACCAAAATATGCAAACCAACAGCAACACTACTTATCTCAATGTAACACAGGGCAGCCTCTCAGCAACACCAATCCTCCTTGCCTGCACTAGGAGAATTACAACAACGACCAGAACCACGACACTATCTTAGCACTAGTAGAATGACCACACTCGTTGAATTACTTAAGCGGAATCTCTCGCGTACGTCACCTACAGTGAACTTTATACTACATACACAAGAGGGGGTTTCTCGATATATCATCAGACACAGATGTTAACTGAATTGTATTTATTCATTGTTAAGCTGTATCTCAACGTGTTTGTAACATAGAAATTACGATATATTTTTTGCTTGAAATAATATATATATATATATATATATATATATATATATATATATATATATATATATATATATATATATATATATATATATATATATATATATATATGTGTGTATATTTTAATTTCACATTATCTTATTATAGTTTCTTTTTCCTTTTCTTTTTTATTTTTTTATTGTTATTATTTTTGCGTATTCTACGAACCACGCTTTTTCAAATCAGAGGCTTGTCGGTACTTTGATGTTTTTTGTTTCTATTACTCATTTTAACAGAGGTAGGTTGTCTTAGAAATTGTTCACGGCACATGTACTATTAAGCTTAATATGACACAGATTCTGATAATGAGCCTCGTTATTGAGATATTAAGAGGCTTAAACAGACTCCTAGGAAAGTAGGCCTGCCGCCTAGATATACTTTTTTGTATATAGAATATGGGTGTCAAACGAGCACACAATCCACCTGATGGTAATTGGATGCGAAGTCTCATAGACATCTACAATTATCCTCGATTAATAATCAAAATATAGATGTGTTGTCACCCCTGAGGACTAAGGTGGAATGCCTCGTTTTCAATAAAAAGGATCTCCGGTGTATGTAGAATAGAGAATACTCACCATACAAAACACAGCATTAAGCTGCTATTTTACGCTTGTATTCTGTGTGGGCGTGGTTTTGCTATAACCATAATATAACTGCAACATGGCTCTACTACGCATAAAATCATCATGTCGTCATTATAATTTATTCCAAAATATTATTTACAAGAATCATCCTTGTCATAATTTCAGAAAGACGCCGTGACGCAAGAGAGGAAGCCAGAGCTAAAAGAGAGCTGATGCTCGGTCAGGTCGAGTTACAGAAAGAGTTCAATGAAGACGACGAGGCAAGGAATACCGCTGTTGAAGAGGTAAGTGATAAGACAGAGTAGGTAAAATAACTTAAATTGAAAATTTAAAAACCCCGAAAGGAACCCTACCTCTAACAAATCAGCTAATGACCTTGAAACGGCTGAACCGATTCTGATAGAACATGTCTAAGAACCACCGCTAGAAAACCTGCTTTAAAATAAAAAGAAACCGCATCCAAATTGTTTCACCCATTAAGAGATACGGTACCACAAACAGACACACAGACAGACAGGCACAAATAGCGGCCAAACTTATAACACCCATCTTTTTGCTTCGGGGGTTAATAAAAGCCATGATTTCTGAAGTTATTTCGTGGTAATTATATTATTATTTTTAGTTCTATCATGTAGCATTTTACTATTTTTTTTCTCTCTTTATTTATTTAGGGATTTTTATTTGTTAACATGTCAATCCCATTATAACTAACTTAAAATCTATACATTTACTATTAATTTGCACATAATCAATGGAATATCCGAGTTGGGTGCATGTATTTTACTATTTATTAAAAGTGGTAATTTGTTACCCCTCTGAGTGGACTGAGGAATAAGAGTATCACCAGGTAGAATTTCTTCTAAGTAGTTTTTTTTTATATACAGAATGAGAGTGACAAGCGAGCACACAGTCCATCTTGATGGTAAGTGGTTGCTGTGGCCCATGGACATCTACATCTATTCCCGTTTGTGAATCAAAATGCAGATGCGTTGTCAGCCGCGAGGACTAAGATGGAATGTCTCGTTTCCAGTAAAACGGGTCTCCAATTCTCTACACTCACCATACAAAATACAGTAGTATCAAGATGCTATTTACGCTGGTATTCTGTGAGAGCGTGGTTATTCCCCGGTCGAGCCGGCGTATTCGTGCTACAACCATAATGTAGGTGTGGCATGGCTCTACCATGTATGTCTACAGCTAAGTATCTAGGACATAATACTATCACTTACAGGCAGGGATTGAAAACGGTCCCAAAATACCGGTATAGAACCGGTATTTAGGGGTTTCGGTACCTATACCGGAACTGGAACCAGAACCTTAATTAGAACCTTTAAGAACCTTTATTTTACCGGTTCCTAAGTAAAGCGAAAGCGAGTCCATACTTGTTTGAGGTGTGGTTGGGTGGACAGCGCGATGCGGCACGCGACGGAGTGTGAGAAGAGGGGAGTTTGTAAAATATCACATTTGTATTGGTGGATCTTATGTTGCATATCAACGCAGTGTTGCCAACTCTACGGATTTTCTATAGATATACGGAAATTTGTCATCATCTACGGAACTACGGAATTTGACGTTGCAATCTACGGAATTTTTATAAACTTAACAAGATTTTTTTTTATCATGAGTGTGAACTTGCCGACAATGTCATTCTCTCTCTTCTCCTAATGTTGTCTGTATTAAATTATATTTAATAATTGAATCTATGCCATCTGTATTAAAGTAAAACTATTTTTACTCATAAATATCAAATTTTTGTGATGTTAATCGATTTCAAATGTTAATAGCTTAGATATTTTGAATTAAATTAGGTACGTTTGTTTCTTCATTCTTCTTGAAAAATAGGCAGTTAATATAACCGCTTATAACCTTTTTATAAATGATTGAATTGTCACTTATGTTTCAATTTTTTCTAATCCATGCTATCCCATTTGTTTTTACAATTATTGAAAAAATTCTGCCGAATTATTCTTCACTTTTCCTCGATTTTTTTTTTTCAATTTCTCAAAGTTCTTAGTTGTATAGTTTTTCATCATCATCATCATAACAACCCTTCACAAGTCCACTGCTAAACATAGGTCTCCCCCAAGGAATGCCACAAAGCACGGTCCTGAGCCACCTGCATCCATCAACTTCCTGCACATCTTACCAGGTCGTCACTCCATCTAGTGGGGGGACGCCCAACACTTCGTCCGCCGGTACGAGGCGAGGACTGCAGCACCGCCCAAATTTCGACGGAATCAAAGGCAAATTGTACTCCACGGACTTCTGTACAATTCGCCGAAGGGTATGTATGTGGTCTATGGTGCTAAAGCCCTTTCGGAAACCGGCTTTTTCGGGAGGCTGGAATTCGTCAAGTATGCGCGCGAGACGATTCGTAATGAATCTCGAAAACAGGACGTAGACGCGGCTCAGAAGGAAAATCGGCTGTACTTCTTCAAGAGAGTGTTGTCACCTTTCTTGAAGAACAAGACCACCGCACTTCTGCTCCACGCCTCCGGTGTAATGCCACCATGGAGGATGGAATTAAAGAGCTTCTGAAGGACTTCAAGCACCGGTTTTCCACCCGTTTTCAGAAGCTCCGCTGCAATTCCATCCTCGCCTGGGGCCTTGCCGTTTTTAAGGTGCTGGAGAGCCATTCTAATCTCGCTCAGACTGACGTCCGGGATATCATCGGAATAGTGTCGGATAAGACTCGCTATTGGATCGTTACTCACACTTGCGTGTGGCTCCAACGATGATGTGTACAGCTGCCCATAGATCCTCTCAATCTTACTCAAAATCTCAGGTGTCCCGGAAACGACGCTGCCAAACTCGGTCTTCAGCTTCGACAGTTAGCTCTTTCCGGCAGACAGATCTCTAACAAAGACTTTGGAGCCCTGGTTCCGCTCGATTGCTTCTTCAATCAGAGCAGTATTAAAGTTGCGTAAGTCCCGCCGCATGCATTTGGAGATCTGTCTGTTAAGTTGCCTGTATGCTGTTAAATCTCCTGAAGACTGCAGCTTCATATCCCGTCTAACAGCCATGAGATTAAGAGTGTGATCGGAGAGTTTTTGTGTTCTTCTGCGGCGGGTCTTGCTAAACTTAGCTCCGACCGATTGGACAGTTTTCACGAGCTTGTCATTCATATTGTCCACTGCATTGCAATCTTCTAGGCACTGAAAACGATTTCATAGCTCGAGCTGAAAGGTTTCGGGACTTTGGAGTAGAGCACGAGGGAGACGGAGCGTTGACTTTATTAGACATGTCCTCTCCAACTTAACGTTTAGGTTCAGTGCCTGTCACCATTCGGTGATTGCTGCCGATTTTCACCCTCGCGATCAATGAGACATCACTGAACAGTTGTCGTCTGGTCGTCATAATGAAGTCAATCTCATTTTTTGTCGAACCGTCGGGGCTTGACCAGGTCCACTTTCTGTGGGGCCGCTTCTGGAAGAAAGAGGTCATCATAAAGAGTCCCTCTTTCTCCATGAACTCTGCCAGCTGTTGGCCCCTTTGGTTCCGTTGCCCTATTCCAAATTTCCATACTTTCAGCTCACCGTTCTCTCTTGTGCGTAGTTTTGCGTTGAAGTCTCCCATTAACACCGTAAAGTGGGTTTTGGAGGAATGCATAGCTCTAGAGATATCCTCATACATTTCCTCCACCTCCTCATCGGGGTGTGTCGAGGTTGGTGCGTAAACCTGTATGACCTTCAGCGAATACCGTATGGTGATACTGAGTATAAGGTACGCGACCCTCGTCGAGACACTGCCAACCTTTACAACGTTGTTAACGAGAAATTTGTGGACGATAAATCCGACACCTTTTTGGAACAGGTGGTCGTCCTCCCGGTGATAGAACAAGTTGCCAGATTCGAGGATTACCGTGTCCTCCCCCTTTCTTCGGACCTCGGATAGTCCTATAATATTCCAGCGCAACTTGTCTATCTCTTCTTCCAGCTCCAGGATCTTCTCGTCAGTCCTCAGGGTACGTGTGTTATAAGTTGCCAGGTCGAGTCGTCGTAGGTGGCAACCAAAGCTCCAGCGGAGATTCTTAGCACTCCCTGCCCCGCCGTTACCATGGTCACCACCGTAGCCAGGAATAACGGGGCCGACGGGGACTGGGGGCCGTCTCTTAGTATCTTTATTCATTTTGGGGGGTATATTGCCATAGTTGCCACGCTTGGCGATCGGGTTGTCAACCGCAGTTTTTTATTGTGATATTGCTGTTGTCAGGAAGATGCTGTTGCCCATCACCTGACTGTATCCCACTGTCGCCTCTTACGACACCCACAAATATTCTCAACCGCCACTACACAGCTATAGTTTTTCATTGTTACATAAATCACCCGAGTCTGAAACACCGTAATATATCAAATAATAAACTAACAAATACCAGAAAATAAAATCCATGTTAATAGATCGTTATCATCAAGGTTGTAACGTATTTTTGTAGTATAACCATCCACAAATATTAAAGTGTGTATAGTTACTTTATTTGTTGTTTACTAAATATTATTTAATTAAAAAAAAATTAATTATAATCAATTTTTTATGGTTTATTTTTCTTACATGTGTAGCTTGATTCGATGTTATACTACATTTAAACTTACAACAAGAATTTTCCATGACAGAATGAATTTATCAACTAAGTTCAAAAACAAATATTGTCGATCCTCAACGGAACGGATATTTTGAAATAGCATCTACGGAATTGTACAGAATTTTTTATACCAATCTACGGATTTGGAGAAATTTGATTATAGGTTCTCGGAACCGGTATTTAGAACCGGTACATCGGAACCCGAACCGGAACCGATACCGGAACTGGAACCGTACCGAAAAGAGGAACCTTTATAAGAACCTAAATGAAGAACCAGAACCGAAATTGGTACCGGTATTCAATCCCTGCTTACAGGTATAATTTTAAAAAAATGTACAACCGACTTCAATATACGTAAATTATTAAGGATAACTCAAAAATTATTGGTCAGACCTTAATAAATATGGGAAATTTATATGGGACTACATGTGAAGTACCTGCTTTCAAATAAAAAAAAATCATTAAAATCGCTTCATCCAGTCAAAAGTTATGAGGTATCACACATAAAAAAAACATACAGTCGAATTGAGTACCGTCTCCTTTTTGAAGTCGGTAGAAAATCATAACTTACACGATAAAACGTTAACTAATTGTTTTTATAAATTATGTGACTGTAATACAATGAACATTTAGACTTTGTTGTTCGGTTGGTTAATCAATGAGACACACTGGAGTGGACTGTAAGATATATAAAATTTGTGCCTTTGTCGTTAAAACTTAAAACTACGAATACAAAAATTGCGTCAAAATACCGGGCGTAGTGGCTCACAGTAAGTAAAGGATATTGTGATGGTCGCAGCTATTGTCTCTTTTTCTAGGGCAGTCGGGTACAAAACACTTCGATGCATGTGTGACAACCTCCTTTTGCCTTGTTCCCAGGGTCTATCGCCAGATGGGTACGCGGAACACCACAGTCAAGTGAACGAGACGACTGCCCTCGACATGTCCAACTCTGAGTTCTGGTCGTCGTTCTCCAGCAGCGAGGAGGCGCTGCTGCAGTGCGCGGGGCTGGTGCTCAACCTACCGCTCACGCCGCACCCCGGCTGCACTGCGGACCGACACGACCAGGATGCTGCCAGGGCTAACGCACTCACTTACAGGTATGTGGCTATCAGTTATTGGCTTTTCTGTCAAAACCAATAACTGAACTGATGAATATATGAAGTTCTCAGTACTAGCCCGGAGTCAGAAGGTTGGCGGTGTTTCACCCCCGTGCCTCGGAAAGTACGTAAAGCCGTTGGTTCTGCGCCTAATTTTGTTTATCAGTTAGTCGGATTATGGTCCCATCGAACTATGAAAGTGATGGAATAGAGAGTGCACTTAAGATTGCACGTATACTCTTTTCAGACGGGCTGCCGTGATCGAAATTCAGTCTGGAGAACATTATTATTATGTAACTTAACCCCTGAGTCACCGCGACTGAAGGCCAACACGCTCACATACAGATATGTAGCTTAACCCCTCAATTAACGGCTCAAACATTTATAATTTAAAACTTACTTTACTAAAACGCGTTTTAGGCGCACCAGTTCACCTTATTTGGACATCTACTGCCGACGTATCCTTTTTCGAGATATAGGCCGAGGTTCTACAAGAGACACGCGCGCGCAGATCCCCAGCCTACTCGTACTCGACTTGGGCGTTGGGCTTTCGTCATATCTTGCGAACTGCTATGACTGGGTAATGCACCCTCGTGTCTCCATACTGGTGGGAGCTTGCCCGACTTTAACACCCTCCACCGTGCATCCTCCCATTGCTGCTATCGTTGCCGCCACTTCCTGGGTGCTTACCGCGTCTTCTAAGTCACTTAACCGAACATGTCCTGTTATCTTCAGATTTGAAAGGACTCTGAAATTAATGAGGGAGTCATTATCACCGCTATCTTATCCGCCTTTTGGCCACAATCTTGGCCAGTGATTTCGAGCAGGAGTCTTTTGTCACAGCTTGTTTTTGCGGAGACCTCTTACCCCCGTTTTCGACTTCCTTCATCACATCGGCATATATTTTTTATAGAATAAGGGTGACAAACGAGCACACAGTCCACCTGATGGTAAGTGGTTGCTGTGGCCCATAGACATCTATATTTATCATCGGCTACGAATCAAAATGCAGATACGTTGTCACCTGTGAGGACTAAGATAGAATGCCTCTTTTCCAGTAAAAAGGGTCTCCGGTTCTCTACACTCACCATACGAAACACAGCAGTGTCAAGTTGCCATTTTACACGGGTATTCTGTGAGAGCGTGGTCTTTCCCAGGTCTTGCCGACCCATTCGTATAACTATACTATTAATATAGCTGCAGCATGGCTCTACCACGTAAATGTTGTTAGATCCCTCAGTTACCGTAACCGTTATTGATGCAGACGACGTTGCGTGGAGTAATCTCTTCTTCTTCTTGTACTTATAAGAGAGAGAGGGCTGAGATTTTTCGGCTGAAGACTGTTTCGTGTCCTTTCGGCTTTTTAAACCTTTTAGTCACCTTTGCCCACGTCGTCTCCTAAGGCATTGGTACTATTCTCATCTCCGGTGCTGTTTAAGGTAGCCAATTTCTTCTTAATAAGAACCCCTTTCCGCTCCATTACCTCATCCTCGCCCCTGTCATGTTTTCAAGAAGCGGGAAGACTCCGAACCTGTGAGATGATTTTACTCGTATTCGCTGCAACCAGAACCCGTCCTTGATTATAGAAAAATTTCAGATCCTCTGTTATTTTCTGCAGCCACATTTCAAAATTGGAAATTTGAGAATGTAGGTCTGCATTTTCTCTTTGCAGTCTCGTAACGAGTTCTTCGGTATTGGTTCTCCTTAGGATTTCTTCGACAGCAGCTTTTACGTGACATACAGTTAACCTTGAGCCGCAAGCGAATTCTCAATTTTAAGTTTCGGGAATGATCCGCCACCATTTCTACAACCTGGAGACTCTGGTCCAGATGACCACTAATCTAGTTAAAAGTGCGCTTTTTCCATTACGCTGGATAGCTCCTCGGGGCCAGTAATGTTTTCAATCGCCCTAATTGTGTAAGGTACCAGAGAGAGATCGAGGATTTCCTTCTCTGTTTCCACCTCCGTGGCTATTTGCTCTTCATCTGAAGTTGCAGTCGAGACTGGATGATATTTGGTGGCTATATGTGTGGTGCAACCTGCTCTTCTTTTTATTGTTCCAGTGTGTGAGCCGTCAGTGAGCGATGCTGGGATAATTGGGATTATAATGATGATGGAGATGCTGGGGATAAAAGGGAGTCATCAGAACCCGCTCCATCGCTCTCACCGACTATACTACGAGATGTATTAGGGCGTATAAAATATCTCCTCATACTGTTTCTTCGTCTCACTCAGTTACTTTTTTAATATGACACCCAGATGTTGTTGCAGTGTTAGAGGTTGGTGTTATTAAATTCCTGCAGTGTGGTGGCTTACTATTGGCCTAACAGTCACCCACCAGCTCCTTTCTTTTCAGTCTGACTTCTAATTCAGATGCAGATTTATTTACGGCTTCATGTTTTTAAGATTTTTAATCCCACGAGCGTGGAGAAAATAAAAATCTATCCGGGCAGTACCTTTAGTAGATGGAGCTTTAGGTGATTTTTATAGAGGTTGTCATCCTTGCAACTCCGGGCTGTTAAGCCATGAGTTCTCAGTTCCTAAGGCGACGCAAGACATGATACACGACACGCCAGAGGGATTCCGACGACTTTATTTTCATTAGGGGCGCCTTGTCATTGCCTATACTTGCAGCACCTAATTAGCAATTAATTCCTTGCTATTAATATTTATCGTTTCGTTACGGTGAAAATTTTAGAGCACCTAATTTTTAAACTTGGCACCTGATTAGCACCTAAAAAGCCCCTAATTTTGGATTTTTCTAAACGCCAATTCCTGATTTTGCGTTGCTGACGAGACACAGCTCCTCATGTCCCAACTGGAATTACGGGGTTGTAATCTCAGTAAAGCCGGGTGCACTTGGCACTTCACCGCACGTGTTATTGAGAAGATACGGTGGAGCAACATCAAGTCACAAAGCCCGCTTCTCAGAGCAACATACTCGTGGCCGTTTCTCATTTCAACTAGGAACTGAAGATACGTCCAAAACCCAGGCAGTTTTGGTCCGCGGGGGTTTCCCACTGCCACTCATATCTGGGTGGAGTTTCCCTATCCGCCACCCGGCGACGCGCCCGATGGTTGGACTGGGACTGATGGGAGGAGGGATGTGGCATCCGCAGCTTTTTTATTTTGAGATGTTATCTAAAGGATGCCACTGCTCATTTCCTGCTTCAGTTTCCCTGTGTAGCCTCTCACGACACTAACGAGACTATAGGTGGTAGTGGATTCCTACACCACCATTGCACTGTTCATTATTATTATTTATGATCAGAGTGCCAGCGAACGGGTACTACTTCTTCGTGTTCAGCTCGGAGAACGAAGTGCAACGGAACTTCATCCGGGCGCGGTTCGAGCTGCAGAAGACGCGCTACGACGTGGCGCGCACCGCGCTGCGCGAGTGCACCAACACCACGCGCCGCTGCGACCTGCCGCTAGACATCTTCTCCTCGCAGCGGGTGAGTGAGCCCAGCTCCTCCCACTCTACACACAAACTCCTTTGTAATTATAAATGGCTCTTGCAACTATCAAAAATCAACCACCACATTATATTACAATGCGATTAAGAACAGGAAATGTCAATGCGCGGTTTTCCATTTGCAACGGCACGTCTGCCGTGGAAACAAAAATGTATAAAATGTATGAAATATACGGCATGTTTTTCCACTTACATTTGCCGGCCGGCAAAACTGCATGTGTATTATGTACGTATTGCAGCCGTGTGCGTGTGTGCGTCGAAGTAGAAGAGACGCTTGAGATTGAGGCTTGAAATTGATTTACGAAATGATAAAATGTCTACTCGTTCATGAGGAAGTAGTTGAAATATTTTTTAGAGTCCATTTCCAACTTTAAAAAAAGGGTATAATATGTACTTTCTAAGTATTTTATTTTTAAGACTGGATGAATTCAAAATTTGACTTCTCTGCGTCGATTATATTTTCATCTTAAATGTAAGAGATATAACAAACAAATACGACGACTTGACGAGACCATTTTTACGTGCTGTGGAACTGAAGGTTGTGTTGAAGTAATGCCCAAAATCCGAGCGTAGACCGGCAGCGGTACCGGCGCAGTGGAAAAATGAAGCCACGACGCCGTCGCCGTGGCGTCGCCGTGACGTCGCCGTGCCGTTGCCGTGCCGTTTCCGTGCCGTTGCCGTGCCGTTGCCGTGCCGTTGCCGTGCCGTTGCCGTGCCGTTGCCGTGCCGTTGCCGTGCCGTCGCCGTGCCGGTAAATTGAAAACCGCGCAATGACCTCGAATTACCGCGATCTGTCAACTTTCACTTGAAAAGTACGGCTTGAAAAAAAAAATAATTTTACAATTTAATATTTATTTAGCTGAGTCTTATAGTACCTACTACCAAATCTATTAAACTCATAATTAGTTTTAAAAATAATAATATGTTATAAGTATTTATGGATCATGGAACCTCTGGGAATGAAGTGATCGCTACCAAGCTAGTTCTAATTTGTTTTGTGTTGTTAATTGTGTAACATATAACATGATTGTAATCTTTTTTTCCAAAATCAAAGTCGTGCTAGGTTTCTTGCTGTTTAATCCAGGACAGCGGCTTTCTTTTCAAAATTAAACAAAAGAGTGACGTTCAATAAGTATTATTTATGCTCCATATTGAATAAATAAATTCTGTTTCATCATCATCACTGGTTTTGCCAGTCCATCACCGTTATTATTGTGACAGTAGCATTTTCAACATGATAATTTTCCAGGTAATCCTCGAAGTGCCGCTGCGTAACAACGACTCCCTCTGGAACGAACAGTTCGTAATTATCTCGGAATGTGAACCCCGGACCTCGATCTACTTGGTGTGCGTTATAGCTGTGCCTATACTCATTTTAGTCTTTGCCTTCCAGTAGCGACAACTATAAAGTTTTACGGCTTTTGCCGGCATTGAACTTGTTTAAACGCGATTTAAAATTGATGTTAAAAAATGCACACCGACTTTAATTTCCTGATCTGGTAGAAGGGACCAAGACTGATGATGAATACAGACACAGCAATTCAGAACAAAAGCTGTGGATCGGTAGCAGACGGGCAGCTGACACTGTGAATTTGCAACACAGTTTTATTTTCATTTAGATATTTCATAACAGCAACTCTCGTTTTTAGGTAAATATGAAATAGTTACGTACTTACCCGAAATATACTTCCAATCACGTTGACAAAGTGCGCACTTAATACAAATAATAAAAAATCATTCTTAATAATAACACAAAACAAAAACGGTGTTAGATTGTCTGTAACAACGTTTGCGTTTTACGAAACAAAAAACTAATCTTCACGCCCGCTCGTAATTGACTAAAGTAGTTACGGAGAATTGACCGTAACTTAGTGCACAATATATTAAGGCCGCAGAGCCCGTCTTGTAAATAGAAGTATTTTTTTTTTGACAATACAATTTCTCGATAAAAAAATGTAAAATAATTCGCTATTATTTCACACTAGTATTCTGAGAGTATAATATTAGTCTACAGTCGAGTCTATCTATTCGTCCTGCAGCTATAATAGAGCTATTGAGGTTCAGCCGCGTAGAAAAGTTTTCTATCTATGTATATTCATACATCTTTCAACAAACATTCATCAAAGAAACGAATGTTTCTTTGATGAAATTCGGTCCCAAATTTAGTATTTACATTTTAATGTATTCGCACTTTAAAAAGTCATCGCTCTTCATTATTTGTCCATGAACTTGAAAACAAACTGCAACACCAGGGAAATTACAGATGCGTCGCCGGCCTTTTAAAAAGAAGTAGGCTCTTTTCATGAAGGTCACTAAGTCGTATCGGTCCGGAAAGATCGCTGGCGGTAATCGATTCCACAAGGAAGTTGTGCGAAGAAGAAAACGTCTTCTAAATCGCACAGTGGTGGACCGCCAATCATTCAGATGGTATGGATGGTATCGCAAGTTTTATCGCGATGTGCGATGGTGAAATAGAGTGGCTGGAATTATTCCGAACAAATCCTCAGAGCACTCCCCGTGGTAGATGCGATAAAATACGCAAAACGTTCTTCGCAGCGCCAGTTAATCGAACCGATCGAAAAGGACTCGGTCGTCGACGATTCGAGCCGCTCTGCGTTGGATACGATCAAGTGGAAGGAACTGGCACTGGGGAGCTCCAGCCCATAGATTGGAACAGTATTCCATGTGAGGCCGAACCTGCGCTTTATAAAATTGCAGGCAGGGTAGAGCCATGCTGCATCTATATTAGTGGTAAGTTGTAGCACGAATGGGTCGGCTCGAGCGGATAAGGACCACGATCTCAAAGAATACCAGCGTAAAATAGCGGCTTAACGCTGCTATGTTTCGTATGGTGAGTGAAGAGAACCGGAGACCCTTTTTACTGGAAAAGAGGTTCCATCTTAGTCCTCACGGGTGACATCGCGTCTGCATTTTGATTCGCAAACGAAGATAAATTAGATGTCTATGGGCCACAGCAACCACTTACCATCAGGTGGACTGTGTGCTCGTTTGTCACCCTATCCTATAAAAAAAAATCATGAAATACTGTCCCGCTCTGTTGAGCATGCCAAGCTTATTAGATGCCAATTTGACCTTCTCTTCCAAGTGACCACGAAACTGCACGTCACTCGATATGACGACGCCGAGGATTCCGATACTGGCTGAGGCATCAAGGAAAGTGCCTTGAACCTGAGAAGATACGGCAAAGGGGTTCTTTTTAGCGGTAAACACGCAAACTTGTGCCTTCTGAGGATTAAACTGGACTAGATTTAGTCGCCCACAATCCGAAATTTTGTTCAGCAAAGATTCGAGTTCAGACACAAGTTTGTTCCGGTACTCAGCGACGTTTTCCCGAGAAATATTGGCTCGGCCGGTGTATAGAGCATAACCAGTGATGTCATCTGCATAACCATGAATGTTACCGGTTCGCAACATACCATTGGTGATAGCACGCTGCCTTGTGGGGCACCAGCGATAACAGGCTTGTAATCGGAGCATGCACCGTCTACTACGACCTTGATGATCAGCCAGAAAACTGGTGATCCAATTGCACACTTTCTTGGGAAGCCCATAGGAAGGAAGCTTCGAAAGAAGCGCTTTGTGCCAAACCCGATCGATGGCCTTCGCTATGTCCGAACTAACGGCCAATACCTCCCCGTTGGACTCGATCGCCTGCGCCCATCTATGTATTAGGTAAATAAGAAAATCATCATAAATCATAATCATAAATCTTTATTTGCAAGAATCACGGTATAAAAAGATGTTACAATTTATATAGTGCAGTCGCGTTTCGCTAATAATGGCATGCAAATTATAATTATTTTAAAATGTTTATCACCAGCTGAGCGACCCCGACTGAAACCATGCGATCACTAATCAGATGGTGCTCCTCCAGGTGCCGCAGGCAGTTAATAATGGTCTCCATTATTTTGGAGAACAAGGAGGTGATGGCGATAGGCCTATAGTTGGACGAATCAGAGCGGTTACCTTTTTTAGGGATCGGGTCCACGAAAGCTGTCTTCCATGAATTCGGGACAATGCCTAGGGAGTAGGAGTACCGGAAAAGACGCGTTAGAACCGGTGCCAACTCTGGAGCGCACGTCCTCAGCAGAATTGGCGGGATTCCGTCAGGCCCACTCGACTTGTGTATGTCCAGGGAGAAGAGTGCTTTGCGTACTGAGCACTGTGTGAATCGCACATCAGGCGTAGAACACTCACACTGCGGGATGGCCGGCGGTGTGTTTCTCCCGTCATCGAGAGTCAAATTGGATGCAAAAAGGGAGCCTAACAGGTTGGCTTTCTCTTTTGCGGTGTGGGCCAGTGAGTCATCCTCCCTGTACAGAGATGGTAGTGATGGCTTACAGAAATTCCCTTGAACCAGCACACACAGCCTCAACCCAGGCCCGATAACACTCATGCTTACTGCGTAGTGCAGTCTTACAGAAGCGACTAAACCAAGGCTGAGATCTGCCTCCGATGGGTGCCACAGATGATGGAATAGATAGTTCCATTCCCTGTAGTATATCATAAGTGACAGAGTCAGCAACAGGCAAGTAAGATGCAAAGAAAGACCGCATTCCGTCTCAATCCGCCGACCTGTAATTCCAAACAAGGCGGCAGCCGGAGGAACGCATCCGCGAGGGGAGCCTGAAAGGATGACCACACTCCGGATCAGACAATGATCAGAAGAGCCGAGAAATCGACAGAAACTTGATATCCGTCCGGATGAGAGGTCAGCAGAAAGTCCAACAGGGAAGGTGTATGATCCTCTACATCTGGAATGCGCGTAGGCGAAGTAACCAGTTGTGTCAGATCATATGCCAAGGCAAAGTCATAAACAGATCTCATCGCATGATCGGTTGAACGTGAATCGATCCATTCGGTGTGAAGGGTGTTAAAATCGCCAAGTATCACGATCTCTACGGATGGGATCTGTTGTAGCAAGAAAGCTGTAGCCATTTGGACGTGGTCGATGAGTCGGTCTGTGTCGGCATTACCGCTATGGGACCTATACAGGCACCCGTAGATGCGGGTATGGTCATCCCTATCTACGCGCAGCCAAAGAATGGACAGGCCTGTACCTTCAAGACTACCGAGGCGTCGAGAACAGATATCCTCTCTGACGTATACGCTAACTCCAGCCCGGGGCTCAAAGAAGTGTTGCAGAAGTCTACGGATAGCGGGGCAGGGGTCGCCATGGTTTTATCGCTTTGTTTGCCCCGTGCAGTATTAGTATAGAGCGGGATTTTTACCCCCCCCCCCCCCCCTTAGAATACGCGGAGTAGCCTGAGCACCCACGCTCAGGAAGAAGATGGTAGCTTGATCGTGGATGCTCAATAAGGGATTCTCCACTACCAAGGGTGCTTTACCCTCCTGGGGTAGTCCGTTCTTTTTGAATTCCGCTACCATGTTGTGGGAGGGGCCTCCGGCCACCTGCACTTACCAAACGAAACGCAGAAGCAAAGCTTCTACTTTACGTTGGTATTCTGTGAGGTCGTGGTACTGTCCCAACCATGCTACAGCAGAAGCTGCAGCGTGGCTCTACCACTATTAGACCTTTTCGTCCTTTATCTCCATTTACTATCGATTAACCAAAGTTACAAAAGTCGATATATTTACCGCTTTATCGTCTTCGGCTGTTTCACCACTTACCAAGGTGCGATATTAATCAAGCACTGACTTATAATAATTTAAAAAAAATATATACAAAATTCGCCTCTACTAAGAACTAATTTAAAAATCAAGAAAGCTACGTCATCGCTTTAACAAACCCCTACTGCGGGAGACCTTGTTACCTGACCGGTCTCGATACGTCAATTTTTCGGGAGTTATCGTGACCATATACAAAATCAACATCCGGACGTCCACGTAAAATTTTTTCCAAACCGTTTTTTTTTTCAAAGTAGAATGTAAAATGATTTTTTAGAAAATATAAAATGGATTGATTTGTGTTTTCTTGATATACAGCTACTCATATTATCGTGTAAGTGCAATATGGTTATAATAGAGGCATTTTAAGAACAAAAAATGTTTGACCTTGACGTGTCGAGAGTAGAGCACACCTATAACGCTTTGCGTTATGAGGCGTGCAATAAAATTATACACAAATACTATAAAAGATATTTTAAATGAATCCAAAAAAGACATTTATCAAATTTTATATGTATTTTAATTTTAAAATAAAAATATAAAGTATACAATGTAAGCCTACAAATATTTTAGTATTTTTCGAATCGAATTTACTGTATACAATTTTTTAATACTGTTATCCCTAAGTGTTTTGTCTTTTAAAATAATATTATTAAGTTAAGATATGTGATAAATTGTTGTACATTGATAATAGAAGTACAAATACAAAATATACAATAACACAAATGCATGTATATATATATATCATGTACGCAATCAGCTGCACCAGTTGTTAACTGACTAAATCTACATGTAGTCGCACTTCGACTTTTAGCCTTGACATATACACATGTTTTGATAAAAATGTTTTGTCTATTAAACTAATATTATTAAGTTTCTATGTATAATAATAATAAAAAAATGTGTGCAGTTCACACGCGGAAGAAGTGAAACCTTCAGAAAAGGAGATCGAGATAAAAGGTATACTATAAAAGTTACACTGTATACTGTATTCTATCTCACTCTCTCGCAGGCTACATCCTACAGATGTGTATGTTGTCTCTTTTTAATGTCGTCTTTTCGTTTCACCTAGTTTCAAATCACAATGATTATGAAGAAGTTTTCACTTCAATAATAGTTAAAAGAGAAAGTCAAAGTTACAGCCTATATACGTCCCAATGCTGGGCACAGGTCTTCTCTCATTTCTGAGAGGGTTTTAGGACAAGGAAATGTTCATCGCGCTGCCCGAATGCCTGTTGGCGAACTTCACATGTCTTCAAAATATTTTTTCATATTTCTTTTTCATATGTAGATTTCCTCACGATGTTTTCCTTCACCGCCGAGCACGTGGTAAATAAGCAATTAAAATTTGCAATTAACAATTTCATTGGTGCCGGCTGGAATCGAACCCGGGAATTGGCAAAATGTTTTTGTTATAAAAACATAGATTTCATGTTGAACTAGTTTTATAATGATATTTTAATACATAATTACCGTTACCAACGAAATTGTCATTTGCAATTCTAAATGTCGATTTAACACATGCCCGACAGTGAAGGAAATCATCGTGAGGAAACCGGCATTTACGAAACGCAATGGAGCAGCGAGTTGGACTAATCTCTTGATGAAACTTTTCGAAATGAGAGAAGCTGTGTTCAGCTGTGGGATGCATAAAGGCTGTAACTTTAATTTTTTTACTGTTTAATTACAATAACCTACGAGGCTGTTTATGTGATACTAGTCATATTATGAGATATTATTAACTATTAGTGTTGAAAATAAAAATAAAATTTACTGTTAATGGTTTTATTTAACATTCAATTTTAGAACACAAAAGCTGTTATCGTCAGTTAACTATAACAGTTGGACATATTGTCTCTTGGACTATTTTATAGATATTGGATTTTTTCTTCTTCAATATGGCCCTTGATATTGTGGTAAGGTCACAATAATTCTACCAGTGTCTGGACATTGGTGGTTAAATTTTGTAGATAAGTTCTATAAACGTCTAGTAAATTCATTTATTCAACCACCAACAGTTTTCGCAGCGCATGCCGAGTAATGAATTTTATAGGCAATTTTTTGATACCTTGGTTTATAATATTGGAATTTTTGGCACCCCAATTTTTTAAATAAAATAACATAGGCATGTTACTCACTGATAATTTAGATTTTTCTGGGTGTAAGAATTTTTAAAATAGATTTCGTGGTTTTAGAGTTTCTACGCTACAAATAAAAAAGAAACAAATATTTTCTTTTTATAATATTATAATATATAGTTATTAACATTATAAATTTAATTTATAGTTAAATTAATACAGTGACGGTGCATTATAGCTTCCAGCGAATAGAATCATCTCTGTCTTCTTATCTACGACAAGAAAAGCAAATGGTTGATTTGCGTTAAACTCAACCGCTTTATTATCGGTAAGAAGAAACTCCGCAACAGATTTGGCCGAGATTCCTTCTTCTGTCACCTCTATATCCGCTATTTGAGACATCAAAGACGCATGCACCCTGTAATCGCTTATACCGCTCAAATCGGCCAAGTGGGGGTAGAAAATTCTCTTCACCCCCATATCGTACACCAACTCTGGTATCGTATCTACATCTGTTATTATCTTGAACCTGGGTAACTTCACTTTTACTAACTGCATCCCTCTTTGTTTGTATAAATTAAAAATTGTCGTCAATCTTAAAGCGTTTAGTGAAAAAAAAATATCGGATATCGAACCTTCAGTGGGTAGGAATACTAACATTGCAACTCTATCGTCGGCGCTGCAAGGTAGTTCTAAGATTTTAGCATTTATCAACGACACGTCAACTAAATGGAAATACGCGACTTGGTTCATCATTCTCACATCACCCAGCTTCACACCTTGCTCTGAATAGAACGGTTCTATCGTAGTATACGCTCGATTGAAGGGATATTTCCAATCGCTTCTGAAATACGTTATATCTGTCATTAGCAAAACAGTAAAATTAAAATCATTTGGGTAAACCGCTTCAGTGATAACGCCTCCCATGTCTGCTTCCATAATAGCATTAGCTTCAGAAGCCGCTTTCTCGGGATCATTAAAGTTCAAGGTCAAAATTTTGACCCCATGCAACTTCTCCACTTCCTTCTTGAATGAATCTTTCACTTCGAGAAGTTTATCTACAATGATCACGCTGGATCTCTTACTCATCAGTTTTAGTTCTTCATCCATCGAGTTCAAGATATCACGTAACTTCCTTCGGAAGCACCGCATTCGATGATGTCTTGTGACCTTCCAGATCTCATTCAAGGTATTTCCTCTCGCACCTTCCGCTAAAATCGTAAGCTGCAGCCATGTTGACAGTGGCGAGAACACAAAATGGGCACCGGTTTCATGTGACACTCTATCCAGAATCCTTATTGAGAATTCGTAAGTCGGTCTCTTTAACAGTTTCAACGCAGATTCATGACTGCAATAATATCTTTCACGTGCAAATACAACCAAACATAGATTAATGAGTATCAATATTTTTAAAACCGCCATTTTTTATTTATTATTGTCGGAAAAAGACACAATTGCTGTAACACGATCGCAGTGAATGAACGCTTATACATAATGAGTAAAATAGGCCAGAACAAGTTGTAAACAATTAACTTTTAATATCGTCTGATAAGCCGAGGTCAATCGAGCTCTGTTGTGTCCTCTGTGAGATCATTGTTTTATTGGTGGCAGTTTCTGGAATATCCTGAAACGTTAACCCTGATTTATTACCGCACATTGTTTATTATGTACTGAGCTTTGGACAGTGGCATAATTTTACATAATAGCAGTAGATACAGTACAGTAATATGGCGTTCTTAGAACCTACAAAGGATCTTACATTGATACCTTAAATAAGAATCGCTTTCAAATCGTAATTAACAATTAAAATGCCTGGTTTTGTCTTGATTTATACATTTTTTTTTGTTATTTTGCACGCTACCCGCACACTAGGTTTTCCTCCTGTACCGTGGAGACAGTTTACAAACATAAATCGCACGAGGACAAACATCCAGACCCGAAACAATTACTTGTAGGCCATGCAAATACCTGTTCCGAGCGGGATTCGAACTCGAGGCCCCAAGCGCTGCAATTCAAAGCTAAGCCTTCGCCATGGAGCCGTCAATAGTCAATTTGTATTATTAAAGGCCCTTCTTTATAATCATCATCAATCTTACTTGAATTAAGTATTTTTTTTATTTATTTATCATTAACAAATTCAGTACAAAATTACAAGTAAAATAGCATTCATAAACCACAAATGTTTGTAAATAATGTTATCATCTACATCTATGTATATTTCCATATGGGTTTGGTAATTAAATAACTAGATGCTTGGTAAGTTCATTTCTAAGTGTCAAGATTTACGTGGTAGAGCCATGCTGCAGCTATATTTGTGGTATAGTTGTAGCACGAATGGGTCGGCTCGACCGGGAAAGGACGTTCTCTCAGAATACCAGCGTAAAATAACAGATGTTATTAATAGAAGAATAACGCTACTCTGTTTCATATGGTGAGTTTAGAGAACCGGAGACCCCTTTTTACTGGAAACGAGACATTTAATCGCAGTCCTCACGGATGACAACGCATCTGCATTTTGATTAGTAATCGAGGATAGATGTAGATGTCTATGGGCCACGGTATCCACTTACCATCAGTTGGACTATGTGTTCGTTTGTCATCCTTATTCTTTATAAAAAAGGGCAGTGTTAAATAAAGAGAAAGGAAGTAAGATTTTAATGTTGTCTTAATATTTTATTGTGTAATGTTATTACTTAAATTAGGGGTTAAGTTGTTTATTAATCGGAAAATTAAATAAGTAGCTGTGTGTATGCCATAAGTGTTCGAGCTTTCTTTAACGGTCTCTATCAATTGTCATTTAGTAAAAAGAAAGAGACCAACTTTCAGCATTTCTAAATTTAATTTGATTTAAAGAGTAAACATACAAATACAAAGACTCGACGGAATAAATGTTTGTAGGTATTAACTTCTATGGTGCATACATCTGTTTCTAGAACCATGCATTTTTTTTATAGGATAAGGGTGACATACGAGCACACAGTCCACCTGATGGTAAGTGGTTGCTGCGGCCCATAGACATCTACATCTATCCTCGTTTGCGAATCAAAATGCAGATGCGTTGTCACCCGTGAGGACTAAGATGTAATGCCTCATTTCCAGTAAAAAGAGCCTCCGGCCACCTGCACTCACCAAACGAAACGCAGAGGTAAACCTCTACTTCACGCTGGTATTCTGTGAGGTCGTGGTACCACCCCGGTTCGAGCCCGCCCATCCGTGCGACAGCAAAAGCTGCCGCGTGGCTCTACCACTGTTAATTCCTCCAAAACCCACTAGACGGTGTTAAGGAGAGACTTTAACGCAAAACTAGGCACAAGAGACAACGGTGAACTGAAGGTAGGGAAATTTGGAATAGGGCACCGTAACCCAATGGGTCAGCAGCTGGTCGACTTCATGGAGAAAGAGGGACTCTTTATGATGAACTCTTTCTTGCAGAAGCGGCCCCACTGGATGTGGACCTGGTCGAGCCCCGACGGTTCGACAAAAAGTGATCGCGAGGGTGAAAACTGATAGCGATCACCGAATGGTTAGAGGTACACTGAACCTAAACATTAAGTTGAAGAAGGCTCGTCTAATGAAGTCAACGCTCTGTCCGCCTCGTGCTCTAATCCAAAGTCCCGAAACTTTTCAGCTCGAGCCACAAAACTGTTTTCAGTGCCTAGTAGATTGTAATGCAGTGGACGATATGAATGACAAGCTCCTGGAAACTGTCCATGCGGTAGGAACTAAATTCTGCATGACCCGCCGCAGAAGAACACAAAAACTCTCCGATCACACTCTTAATCTCATGGCTGTTAGACGATATAAAGCTGTAGTCTTCAGTAGATTTGACAGCGTACAGGCAACTGAACAGTCAGATCTCCAAATGCATGCGGCGGGACTTACGCAACTTTACTACAGCTCGTATTGAAGAAGCAATCGAGTAGAACCAGGGCTCCAAAGTCTTTGCTAGAGATCTTTCTGCCAGAAAGAGCCAACTGTCGAAACTGAAGACCGATTGTGGCAGCGTCGTTTCCGGGACACCTGAGATTTGGAGTGAGATTGAGAAATTCGACGAGCAGCTGTACACACGCAAGTATGAGTAACGATCCAAGAACGACCTGGACGTCAGTCTGAGTGAGATTAGAATAGCTCTCCAGCACCTTAAAAACGGCAAGGCCCCAGGCGAGGATGGAATTACGGCGGAGCTTCTGAAAGCGGGTGGAAAACTGGTACTTGAAATTCTTCAGAAGCTCTTTAGTTCCATCCTCCATGGTGGCACTACACCGGAGACGTGGTGCAGAAGTGCGGTGGTCTTGTTCTTCAAGAACGATTTTTTCTTGAAGAAATACATACATATTTCCCTTCTGAGGCGCGTCTACGTGCTGTTTTCGAGAATCATTACGAATCTTCCCGCATGCAGACTCGACGACTTCCAGCCTCCCGAATATGCCGGTTTCCGAAAAGGCTTTAGCACCATAGGCCACATACATACCCTTCGGCAAATTGTACAGAAATCCGAGGAATACAATTTGCCACTATGTCTGGCGTACGTAGACTATGACTGTCGGTATGTCGAAATGCTGAAGTGTTTGTACAGTAGGGCTACGATGGCTATCCGAGTACAGAACCAGTGTACGAAACCTATCCAACTGCAGAGAGGTGTAAGACAGGTGACGTCATATCCCCGAAACTCTTCACCGCTGCATTGGAAGATATTTTCAAGCTACTGGATTGGAAAGGATACGGTAAAGATCATGTATAACGTCTATGTCACACCTATACCGGTAGTTGTCGGGAGCACTAAGCTCGAAGTAGTTGACGAGTGTGTTTACCTCGGACAAATAGTCCGACTAGGTAAGTCCAACTTTGACCAAGAGGTCAATCGACGGATTCAACTCGGCTGGACAGCGTTCGAGAAATTACGGCATATCTTTTCGTCAAGTATACCTCAAAACTTGAAAACTAAGACTCTACAATCAGTGCGTATTGCCATTGATGACCTATGGAACAGAGACGTGGTCCTTCACTGCTGGCCATATGTGAAAGCTCAAGGTCGCTCAGCGAGCTATGGAGAGGGCTATGCGCGGGGTTTTTCTGCATAATAAACTTAGAAATGAGGATATCCACAGTAGAACCAGAGTGACCGACATAGCCCTACGGATTAGTAAGCTGAAGTGGCAATGGGTCGGCCATATAGCTCGAAGAACCGACAACCGATGGGGATAAAGGGTTCTCGAGTGGCGGCCTCGTACCGGCGGACGAAGTGTAGGGCGTCCCCTCCCCCCCCCCCCTAGATGGAGTGACGACCTGGTAAGACATGCAGAAAGTCGATGGATGCAGGTGGTTCAGGACCGTGCTTTGTGGCATTACTTGGGGGAGGAATATGTTCAGCAGTGGAATTGTGATGAGCTGCAATAATGATAATAATGACATCTGTTTATAATCTTTTGTAGTTATACTGTACCAAAGTATGGCGTTAACTGAAAAGTTAAGGCCATAGTGTCATATATGTGCACTCTACAACGGATGCAGCCAGCTTATTATTATAATAAGAGCGATGCCACGGCTTCGCGTCGCAATTCAGCATTTTCCAACGCAGATTACGAGGACTCAGGAAGCTCGGTCAATCAGACTTAAGTTGTAATTCATAATATTGTAATGTTGTTTCATTCTCTAATAATGTATTTAATTGATTCAAAGGTCGCTGGATCATATCCGGCTCTACGTTCCGGATGTACGTTTCATCGTACAAATTAATTTATATTTTTTATTTAAAAAAAAAGTTATATATTTCTTTTGGGATCCCATATCGGCCTTCTTTTGTATTGTATTCGAAAATTTAAATGACCATACCATCCTTTATTTCGCTTACGTGTCTTTGACATCATAATTTAGACAAAGTTAATACACGAATATATACGTGTTTTATACGTTGTAGAGCCATGCTGCAGCTATATTAGTAATATAGTTATAGCATCCTATCCTATAACAAAATATGTATTAGCAAAAAATATCATTAACAAGTGGTAAAATTAAAAATTTTGTACAACCAACTTCAATTTAAATTATTAAAGGCAACTCAAAAACTACTGGTCAGACGTTGATCAAATTTATATGGGACCACATGAGAAGCACCAATTTTCAAATAAAAAAGAAATTCAGCATGAAGCTGCTATTTTACGCTGATATTTTGTCAGATCGTGATCCTACCCCGGTCGAGCTGACCCATTCATGCTACAACCATAATTTGGTTGCAGCGTGGCTCTTTTTTTTTTCTTTTCTTTTTTTTTTTATAGGATAGGGTGACAAACGAGCACACATTCCACCTGATGATAAGTGGCCACTGCGACCCATTGACATCCACATCTATCCTCAATAAAGACTCAAGATGCAGATGCGTTGTCACCCGTGAGGACTAAGATGGAATGCCTCTTTGCCAGTAAAAAGGGTCTCCGGTTCTCTACACTCACCATACGAAACACAGCAGCGTTAAGCTGCTATTTTACGCTGGTTTTCTGTGAGAGCGTGGTCCGTCCCCGGTCGAGCCGACCCATTCGTGCTACAACTACACCATTAAATTAGCTGCAGCATGGCTCTACCACGTATAAAACGTGTATTGTTTTAAAAAGCTGAACGTTTAACGTTGCGGCTTACATAATACGATGCCTTGACCTGTTGCAACAAGACGATAACACGGCACTGTTTTAAGTCTTAAATAGATCATAAACAAAATCTTCGTCACAGCCTTACCGATTAGAGCAACCTTAACTACATAAACTCAAAAATCGTATTTACAATGGAGTTAGAGACAAAGCAGCAAAACAACAACCCTGGTTCGATCCCCGCCAGCACCAATGAAATTGTTAATTGCAACTTTAAGTGCTGGTGATAACTCAGCACTTATCGTGTTCGGCAGTGAAGGAAAACATAGTGAGGCAACGTGCATGTCTGAGAAATGAGGAAAAAAATATTTCGAAGACACGTGAAGTTCGTCAACACGCATTAGGGCAGCGCGGTGGACATTTTCTTGCCCTAAAAACCATTTCAGAAATTAGAGGAGGCCTGTGTCCAGCAGTGGAACGTATATACGCTGTTACTTAAGTTTAGAAACAAATAATTATTTAAATTTTCTAGTCATTCGAAATCCTATAAACCATTAGTCATGGTGTGGTAATAATATATGTGAAGTACATCAATAGAATTCATCATCATCGTCATCATCATCATCATTATCAATCCGTAATAGTCTACGGCTGAACATAGGCCTCTCACATAGATTCACTCATAAAGGAGATATTTGCAATAGTTGCCACGTTTAGCAGACGGGCTGGTTACCGCATTTTTAGTGGTTATTTAGCAAGACGCTGCTGCCCATCTCCTGGTTTATTTCCCTCTGTCCCTTCTTACGACAACCACGGTACATTGAAAGTATTAATGTAGATATATTAATATTCATTCGATACTGAGGCATATTATAATGTCCTCCAGACCGAATTTAGGTCACGGCGGCCAGCCTCAACGGAGATTCGCCATCTGCACAGAACAGGATTATAGTGCCCGAGTGTATGCGCAAGCACAAGTGCACTCTCTGTTCACTCACTCTCATAGTCCGATGGGACGGTAAGCCGACACGACCGGAGACAGATCAGGCGCAGGACCAACGGCTTTACGTTCTTTCCGAGGCACGGGAGTGAAACTCCGCCAACTTCCTGACTCCGGGCAGCTACAAAGTATTTCTAGACAGAAAAACTCAATAACTGATTTTTTTTTCGAACCCGGGACCTCATGGTCAATATTCGTGTTTACAACCTCTAGAACAACGAGGCATAGTATAACTGTGGCATAGCGAAGTATTAAAACCCTGACTTCAGAAGCTATTAAATTATGTGGAAATTATAATTATTCTATAGCTCTTTGAAGTCGGTTTTTGCTGTTTTATAAGTTAATTTTTTTGACCATGTCGAATGGACTAAATGGTAATATAACAACTTCAAGGTAACAACTAGACTATCTAGAATTTTTACCTCAAATTAAAATACCTTTTAGGTTAATACCTAACAGGGATATTAATTGCGCTTTTAGGTATTCTTTTATTAACTCTTTACTTCTCAATTATTCTTCTTTATTTTTAAATCATGAAAATCGGTTTACCTCAAATATTGAGTAATGTACAAAGATCTAAATCGAGAAATCGGTCGAATTGAAAACATCCTTTTGGAAATCTGCTAAAAATTATTAAACCTTTAATAATATTTAAAAAATGATTTCAAATCGCTAAAGATAATTAAATAATTATCAATTGTAAAATTGGTGCTAAGACATAATATATAGAAAACCATATGAGCCCTGATTTCAAAATATGAAATTTTTTTTCTTTTAAGTTCTATATAATCGACTTTTAGGTGCTTTTTATTGAAAAATTAATTTTTTGAATGGACTAAGTAATATCACAAGCATGAGGTAACAACAACATTATCTAAATAGTTAAATTAAAATCTTTATCTCCTATTTTTTCTCCAAATTTATGTGGGACCACCCCTGAAGTTTAACCTATTTAATAAAATTTAACCATGAACCTCGGTTCACAATCGACGAAGATACAAAATACAAATTTAAGAAGGTAACATACAATCGAATTGAGATGTCGGCTTAAGATACAGCATGCATACAGCAAGTAAAAATTAGCATACAGCAACTGGTATTCTCCAAATAGCATCTACGTACCTATCTGTAACCTCAGCTTTATCTCCAACTGGGGTCATTTCGATAAGATGCTTACAACAAGCGTATGCCACTTTAAAATCAGTTATTTTAACCATTTCAACAAACTCACACGAAATGGCGAAGATTATATTTATATTTTGTGCCTTAATACCTTATATATTTGCTCAGTGCACAATTGAAAAAGCGGAACCCTTTTTCTCTAGATCGGTATACGAGTTCTCCATAGACTTGGTGAGAAGAATCGCGCAAGACACTGACTATCATTTCGTGGCATCAACTCTCTCACCTTGGACACTACTTGCCTATACCTCCCTCGGTGCTGCCGACAACACTTTAGAAGAACTCAACACTATTTTAAGGTTGCATCCACACAAATGTTTCAATAAGAAATTCTTCGAAATAACGAAAAGTATCTACTCACCGGCTGCCGATACAACGCTAGAAGGAACTTCAGCTATATTCGTTGATGAAAGAATACCGGTAAAAGAGATGTTCAAAAATAAAGTTAGGAGGGCCGGCGTATGTGAAGTAAAACAAGTATCGTTTGATAATTATGATTACGTTGCAGCTTATATAAATAATTATGTAAAAACGGCAACGAACGGAGCTATAGATGAAATAGTACTCGCAAGTGATTTGGAGAATGTGGCTCTAATGATTATAGATGCTTTACGATTTAAAGGTACTTGGAAAATTCCTTTCGACATCGCCGAGACAGAAGAAAGTTCATTTTATGACGATATGAACAACAAAGTAGGCGATGTAAACCTTATGTTTGTAACCGATAACTACAATATCAAATTAATGGATAAAATAAACGCCACGATTGTTGACCTGCCCTATAGTGATGACAGATTTTCTCTGTTACTATTCGTGCCTTATGATGGCACCAAACTGAGCAACGTCATATATTCTCTAAAAGAAATCAGTCTAAAATCAATATTCTCATTTTTTAAAGAACACGAACCGCAAGAAGGAATAATACAGTTACCTCGATTCAAGATTTCATCAGACCTAAATAATCTAAAAGAACTTTTCATTGATATGGGATTGAGAACAATATTTGACGGTAACCAAGCCCAATTCCCAGATATTTCGGACTATCCGTTATTTATCTCTAACCTTATACAGAAAGCTGACATAGAAGTGACAGAAGAGGGCACGGTAGCAAGTGCAGCATCGAAAGCAGAATTTTCGTTCAAGAGTCTCCCGTTTGTTGTGGCTGCAAACAAGCCGTTCTTCTTCATGATTGTGGACAAAAAAACTGTAATCCCAGTCTTCGCAGGTGCTTACTCTAAACCAAGCAAGTACTAAGAGTAAAGTTAAATTATTATATCTCTGATTATGAATACTGACCAAACGGGTCAGACTGCAAATTAATGTGTATGTATTGCATTTAACTTTAGATTTAATATTTTAAAGAAAACCTTTGTACGCAAAATAAAGATCTTTATTGTTATTTTTTCCAATGTTCAATCTAAGTACTTAAAATTTATGGATAAACAATAATATTTCCATGTTTAAAAACAAAAAAATGTTAGTAATATTGCCACAATTCTTATTTTAACTTGAAGGACATTTAATGACATTATGTATGGAATAAAGTTGCAGCTAAATGGCCGCCACGACACCGCTGTAGGTGGTGTATCCTGCTGGAATAATTTTTGATAATCTAATAAATAAAAATTTATCTTTGTTTGTTCGTATTTTATGCGCTGCCAAACCTTTGTCAACTTACTGCTCGCACTTGCGCGAAGGTTATAGGCATAGTACAATTAAGAGCGTAGACAGGCTGCATTTTTTCCATATAAATGTATTACCCTGTTCTCTTCCTGGATAATGCCTCTAGAGTAATAGTTTTTGTTTATAAAAATCTAAGTCTATTGAAGGCATGCTCCTGTTATTTATTTTTTAAATCAATTCAGTAGTTTAGGAGTCCATCGCGGACAAACAACGTGACACGTAATTTTTATATATAAAGATTATGCATTAGATAACATTCAATAGATAGTAACGGACACTTCTGAATTGTGAAATAAAATAAAAAGGACTTTTTTGATTTTGAACTTTGTACCTATTGTAATACTAATGTGCTGCGTTTATGGGCTCCTGTGATTTAGCCAATCGCACAATACTTTCACCATCGATATACTTATATTATGTACTACGCACTAGATTTCGCATTCCGAACATTGACTATGTTCAAGTGAACTGTACTGCAATCCGTACAAACTAAATATTGCGTAAATTGAACATTTGTGAATTCCATAAGATTATTATTATTACATTTTATTTAGAAATGTGTTTGTTTAGATTAAAATAAGATATTTTATATTAAATTCTTATATTTATTTTATATTAATATCTATCTTAGATTAATACTAAGTCATCGCGCGCTCTGACTAGATACCGCCGGCGCTCATGTAAAATGCGGCAACAAATACTACGCCGAAATCGGCGTACCCGAGCTAGTCGCGTTGCATTGCAGGCAATGTGTGAGGTGGTATGTCACAGAGTACTTTTTTATATAGGAAAGTGGTATGTCCACCTGAATGTTTTATTAAATTTTGATCATAATTCGAAGTAAAATACCAGTTTACGTATTGAAACTATGTAAAAATAATAGTACAAGAAATAAGAAAGACACTGGAATCACATACTATAGGTAAGTATCATACAATTTCGAAATTTTAACATGAAATAACACGAGCCATAAATGAGTCACAAAATATGAATTTCGAATGACGCTATTCAGTGTTGCCGCGTATACAAAAATAAAGTTCCCCGTGGCTGAGATTTTTATATGTGAATTTATTGTTACTATATTTTATAATATAATATATTTAACTTATTATAATATAACCTAATTCTATATTATTTAATGTTTATTTCTGTAATATTGCTCAAATGACATAAAACCCAGCACCGGAGGATGCGGAGGCTGGAGGCGCTAAGTGAGCTTTGCGGCCAGCCTCCGCAGAGTCTGCTTCACCTAAGGATGCCTCGTGGCGAAACACATGTCGAGAGTGGTGTGTCGTGCCTAGTGTGGTGGTGCTGGGGATTGTAGTGCTGGGATTGACGGCGACGGGTATAGTGCGTACGATTGAGGGAGGGTGGGAGGTCTCCTTAAAACTGGGCATACACATCATTTTCTCTCTTTACGCGAAATTAAGCAAATTAATATATAACAACCCCATCTCAAAATCAGTTATTCCATACAAAATTTCGTACAAACTTGCTCAAAATGTATGGAAGACCTGATTTTTCTTGCGATTTTCGAAATATAATATATAGATCTATAGTAAAAGTTGTTCATATTTACGCGTAGAATAGAAATAGAAAGCACTATTTTGATTACACCATATATACCGAGTGACGAAAAAGTTGTCACATAAAATGAAAAGACGTATGCTAGATAAATTTCTTTAAACATACAAAAAATATATAACAATTAATACATTAGTCGCGGTAGCATTTTTTTCTTTTTAATATTAAATAACATCATGTAAATGCCTACAGATATCACCTGATGAATTCTAAAAGGTCAAAGACCCATGCCATTTGAAGGCGAAGAAAGGTAGTTTAAATGTTGTCAATCCGTACTACACAAATAAAGAAAAAATCAAACAAAAACTGTACTTACGGCTAACAATTTAAGGCATAATTTTATGCGCGAAATTAAAAACAAAGGGATCGCACGCTGCGGGTGTGTGAAAACAAATTCAAGCGAAAAATTTGCTTAAAATAATGAAGTTAAGGCATAATTCTCTATGCGCGAAGTGACAAGAAATGGGACCGGGTGTCGAAATTATTATTTTTCTGGCGCATGCGACGTTTTTTAAGTCATTTCAGGTCAGTAACCTATATATTATCAAGGCTGATTTATTTCTTGTCAATGTTTTACGCTATTTATTTTGTTTGAAAAATGCATTTTTTATTTTCTTTTATTATTGTTTATTTTATTATTTTAACAGACAAATATCTACTTGCATTAACTGCTGTGCTATTTAACCTTTTCGCCACTATATACTATAACTATTATTTTTAAATAATTTGTAAATATTAGTTAAACATGTAAATAAAAAAATTAAACTGATAAAAAGTAGGCCTTATCATTTATGTCATTTATTCAGAAGAAAAACTTATACATAATATACACAAATATATTGATTCATTCGTTAGTAATAAACTATTCATTTTTAAGTATTTCTGGAATAACTATGAACTTAACTACAAGTTATAGCATAAAATAAATTTTCCCGTTAATCGGGTAATAGTTAAGCTGCTGGCATATACAATTTTTCACGCACACTAGCATCTTGCAAATTGGCTTATACACACTACAATATTAAGATGCCGCATTCAAGGAGCTGTTACCTTCAGGTAGCGCGGTATCTAGTCAGAACACGCGATGACTTATCATTAATCTAAGATTAATATCTTATTTTATATTAAATTAAAGTTTCGCGCATGCGCGACTACTACTCCCGCGAATGCGCGAAGACCGAAGACATAGAGTAGGACACAATTTTTGTCTGGAATGACTTATCTAGTACGTAGTACATATAACTCAATGACTTTCACTGACATATTTCAAAAGTTGTCATAAACTCAAATATATTATGAAAACGTTAATATTTTAAAATATACCTCAGATTAATATATGCCACAAGGAACTTGGATACAGTAAAATCATCTATTTTCATTTAAAGTAACAATACTGTTGTACTCTCATTGGCCAAATCACCATTATGCCACGCAAAATAAACGTCAATAATGTTACAGTAATCTCACGACCACGCTCTCACAGAATACCAGCGTAAAATAGCAGCTTAACGTTGCTGTTGTGTTTCGTATGGTGAGTGTAGATAACCGGAGACCCATTTTACTGGAAAACAGGCATTCTATCTTAGTCCTCACGGCTGACAACGCATCTGCATTTTGATTCGCAAACGAAGATAGAAGTAGATGTCAATGGGCCACAGCAACAACTTACCATCAGGTGGACTGTTCGTTTTTCACCCTTATTCTATAAAAAAAAACACGATCGTCCTTTACGGGACTCTACACTGATTATCTCATACTGCCACCACACTATTTAGTTAGTGCCGGTATTTTTACCGTGTAGTGGCGATGTAAGAATATCCATTACCCCATATTATGGTCTGGTGGGTGTCGTAAGAGGCGACGGAGGGAAACAAATGAGGAGATGGGTATGGACGTCTTCTATTAACGACAAGAAATAAAAAAATTGCGGTTCCCATCCTGCTTGCCAACCGTGGCAACTATGGCAAATATATCCCCTATGAGACAATTTATGAGGGAGGCCTTTGCTCAGCAGTGGACTCTTTAGGCTGTAACGGTAAGTTTATCGAACAGGCTAGTTGATTAATTAATTGGATGACTAAACCATCGTGCTGCGATATGCATAACATGAGAATTCTTTGTTCATCATGTAAACTTTGTTCATGCCTGCAGCTGACAGTTGGCGATGGTATCTCCCTGGTATATAGTGTATTACTATTATCTATGATGGTATCTCAAGGCGCCTAAGCAGACAGGACACCTTTCTTGAGAATCACATAAGTGTTGCAAAAGTTCCCGATTTATCAGGAGATCTACTGATTTTAATTAGTATCTCCCGATATCCCGATTTAGCGACCATGTCTCCCGATATTTTAGCATTTTCAACTAATATAAAATAATATTCATAAATAAAATTGAAAAGTAATATTCTAAATACGACAACACTAAAATGAACCTTTAACACAAAATCTATGTACGGGGACTTCCCGAAATTGCTCGCACCACGTCCTATGGGACCTATACCCTTATTAGGTTTTAAACTTGGCGGTATGCTTAAAGCATATTGCACTGAAACATCTTAAAATATAGTTCATTATTGTCTGGTAAGTGTACGGGGGAGATCCCTAAAGATTATTTTGTTAGGGTTGTTTTACGAATTAGGTAGCTTAAGCCAAACAGTGGTAGCGCCAAGCGGTAGCTTTTGCTGTCGCACGAATGGGTTAGGTCGAACCGGGGTGGTACCGCGACCTCACAGAATACCAGCGTGAAGTAGAAGTTTACTTCTGCGATGCGTTTGGTGAGAGCAGGTGGCCGGAGGCCCAATTCCCCCCCCCCCCATCAACATGGTAGTGGAATTAAATAAAAGACTACCCCAGGAGGGTACCAGCACCCCTGGAGAATCCCTCGCTGAGCATCCACGACCAAACTACTTGACTCCTGAGCGTGGGTGCTCAGGCTGCGCCGCGTATTCTGGGGGGGGGGGGGGGGGTAAAATTCCGCTCGCGACT